ATGCTTAAAATGCTTCCGCGACTCTTTAGACATGTCAACCAATCATTTTCACTCCAGTAGTCTGAACTGGCGTCCTGTAGCTGCCATTTGCTGAGCTGTGCTTTTCTACTCAATCAGTAGAACTGGTTTGAGTCCTTGCTACATGCAGAGCCCCTCACTAGAAACAAAACACAAAGTCAAACGAGAGCCTTTCATCAGGGGCGGGGGTCCCTCTCCCACTAGAAAACACCTTTAAGCCAGTCATCACAGTAGACTGCCACAATTCCAAGTGACCATTGGTACAGCGCATTAAGCCTGTGTGTAACTACACCTTGGGTTTGAAGACACCGAATATGCTTCACTGAGGAGGTGATATTTGAGCAAGGGACTATTTCTTCTTTTCTTTTGAAAAAGAAGCATGCTATGCTTAATATTGCATATATGTAACCCCCATAAATCTAAGAGAAGTCATTTTAAATAGTAGTGTTTTCCTAATCTAATTATGTTGCTTTGATAAGTCATGGTATATATTAATTATACACAATGAGTTTATGGCATTCACAAACACACACATTTTTACACACCTCCCTTGTCTCTTCCTACTCCCTCTGATTCTGAGGAGGGAACTATTTCTAAAGTGAGGAAAAAGGAAGAATACCCGTAATATCAGCATAGAATGAAGAGAATTTGGAAAATCTCAGAGGACAGAGAAAACTGAGTCTATGGTAGTAGTGGGGCAGTGGGGAGGGAGAGCCCCGAGGTCCTGTTGGGCGGGAACCCTCTGGCCATGTTGACAGGACACGTCTTTTTCTCAGTATTCACCTCCTCTTGGCTCTGCTGTGCAGCATGTGTCCCTCTGTCACAGTAAGACCCCCTCTTGTGCTACCATAAAATGTGGGTAATGTAATTTAGTTGTGGCCATTCTGTTTATAGCCTGGGCACAAACTAGTGACCACGCAGTGAAGCTAGGGTCTTCACAGTCTGTGTTCAACAAACATGCAGAAAGAAATTCCTGGAAAACTGGAGGAGGAATAAGTCGAAATGGAATGAAATGACTTGCAGGACATTTGCCCCAACCTGTACACCCTTAGTGAAGCTTCCAGCAACTGGTCTCTTTGTCCTGGCCTTTGGGCTCCCTGGTGTCTAGGGCAGGGATTGTCCGAGTGCCCAGTCAGGCCCTGACCATTGTAAAGAGAGTCCCAAATCTCCTTGGAATCTGGTATCCATTTTCCAGCAAACAGTCATGCTTTTCCTTTCCTGTCCCTTCTCTTCCCTGCATGCCCTGCACAGTATGGGCACCTGACGAATGTCACTTCCTCCCAGGTTGTGGCTGATGCACAGATGTACTCTTACCACCCCTGTCCCTGTGACTGTCTCTTTTAGGCAGGGGTCAGAGAGAGCCCATGATAGTCACAGTATTCCTAGTGTCATGAGCACAAGGTTACTGGGATGTGGAGTCCCAGAAACCTCATAGAATCTGGGACAACTATTGTCTAAAATGATCTTGTAGTTGACAAAGTCCCTCCTGTCCTTACAAAGTGGGGTAGTCAGTCACCTATGCCTTCTGATGACATTTAAATCAGGCAAACCTCTTGTTCACAAAACACACTGGCCCCCAAGTTTCTCAGAGCTTTTACTCACAAATACACCTTTTAATAAACTTTCAGAATCTCCTATGTCTGCTTCAAAATAAACACAAGACAGTACAAAAAGGCGTATCCAGCCCTGCAGCAAAGCCAGTCACCCCTCTGCTGCATCTTTATAGCCATCTCTGTGTTCTGGCAGCTGGTCTCAGTTTGGCTCTGTTCATCTCCGTCCATTGAGCATAAGGCTTGGAAGGCAGCACACAGCTGCCGTGGATAGTTGTTTCTTCTGCTTGGCCCGGTGCAGGGCTTGGCACACAGCACCTGCCTGACTTCTGACCGGGCTCTCTCCTTGTTCCCACTGCCACGGCTCTGGGTCCTCCCATATAAGTCTGGCTTGGCCATGGGCTCCGATGTCACAGTGAAGAAGAAGAATCAAGTTCATTAGAACAAAAGCTCCATGAAGGCAGATCCCTGAAGGGGTCTGAAGTCTAGGCTGTTTCTTTAGGGCTAGCAAAGTGCCCACCAACTAATAAACTGTAGATGTGAACTGACTGGATGACCGTGTTAATAAACTGTAGGTGTGAACTGACTGGATGGCTATGTTAGTACACTGTAAGTGTGAACTGACTGGATGGCTGTGTTAATACACTGTAGGTGTGAACTGACTGGATGGTTGTGTTAGTACACTGTAGTGTGAACTGACTGGATGGCTGTGTTAATACACTGTAGTGTGAACTGACTGGGTGGCTGTGTTAATACACTGTAGTGTGAACTGACTGGATGGTTGTGTTAGTACACTGTAGTTGTGAACTGACTGGATGGCTATGTTAATACACTGTAGTTGTGAACTGACTAGATGGCTGTGTTAATACACTGTAGTGTGAACTGACTGGGTGGCCGTATTAATACACTGTAGTTGTGAACTGACTGGATGGCTGTGTTAATACACTGTAGTGTGAACTGACTGGATGGCTGTGTTAGTATACTGTAGTGTGAACTGACTGAGTGGCCGTGTTAATACACTGTAGTGTGAACTGACTGGATGGCTGTGTTAATACACTGTAGTGTGAACTGACTGGATGGCTGTGTTAATACACTGTAGTGTGAACTGACTGGGTGGCCGTATTAATACACTGTAGTGTGAACTGACTGGATGGCTGTGTTAGTACACTGTAGTGTGAACTAACTGAGTGGCCGTGTTAATACACTGTAGGTGTGAACTGACTGGATGGCTGTGTTAGTACACTGTAGTGTGAACTGACTGGATGGCTGTGTTAGTATACTGTAGTGTGAACTGACTGGGTGGCCGTGTTAATACACTGTAGGTGTGAACTGACTGGATGGCTATGTTAGTACACTGTAGTGTGAACTGACTGGGTGGCCGTGTTAATACACTGTAGGTGTGAACTGACTGGATGGCTGTGTTAATACACTGTAGTGTGAACTGACTGGATGGCTATGTTAGTACACTGACTGTAGTGTGAACTGACTGAGTGGCCGTGTTAATACACTGTAGGTGTGAACTGACTGGATGGCTGTGTTAATACACTGTAGTGTGAACTGACTGGATGGCTGTGTTAATACACTGTAGTGTGAACTGACTGGGTGGCCGTATTAATACACTGTAGTGTGAACTGACTGAGTGGCCGTGTTAATACACTGTAGGTGTGAACTGACTGAGTGGCCGTGTTAATACACTGTAGGTGTGAACTGACTGGATGGCTGTGTTACAGTTGCTGCCAGTGCCTTCCTCCAGTTCGTGACTTGGCTGAGCCCATTTCTACCCTCCCTGTAGCCTGTGCCTGTCTGTCGGAGCCCTGGCATTTTCAACTTCGCTTCCTTCCAGTTTCTTGGTGCCTGTGGCCTCACCCTGCACCCTCAGTGTGTCCCCTTCCCGCTCTCATCATATTCTTTGGACATACATTTAGCACCTCGGAATAACCTTCTCTGGCTTCCCCATCCCTTTTTACGGTGGCCCTGCCCACAGCTCCGACCTTCCCTGTCATGTACACCAAGTATCACCCCATCCCGATAGTGTTCAGTAAGCACAGTGTTTGGTTTGTCTTTAACTGTCAGGTAAGTCAGGAGAAACTTCAAGTGTTTTTGCAAAACTGAACTCTGACGCCTTCTGCCACAATGCTTGTTTTCCTCTAGAGACACCACAAGACGGAGCATCATTGATTATATGCCTGGCCAGTCACTCATTTTCCCCGGGTACTCTTTAAAATACAAAGGTTTCCCATTTTTCTTCCCCAGTTTATTTTTTCAGTGCTTATATATTGCTTTGTTTTGAGACACCACAAAAAATTTTTGACAAAATTGAGTCATAAGATTTGTTCTGGGATAGAAGCAGATAATAGATTAAAATTGGCAGCTGGTTAGTCTTTTTATTGTCCCTTCACATAGTTACAATAGACTCTGGTACATGAGTGCTTTGTAGGACCAGAGAAGGGATTACTGTGTTGGTGGAGATGAGGTGCGTAAGGAAGTTTACCATTAAATGTTTCATGGCTGTTCACATTGTGCTGGTTAGACAGCGTGCGTGTGTGGGCAGCCAGGGAGCATGGGTGAGCAGCCAGGGAGCGTGTGTGGGCAGCCAGGGAGCGTGGGTGGGCAGCCAGGGAGCGTGTGTGGGCAGCCAGGGAGCATGTGTGGGCAGCCAGGGAGCATGTGTGGGCAGCCAGGGAGCGTGTGTGGGCAGCCAGGGAGCGTGGGTGGGCAGCCAGGGAGCGTGGGTAGGCAGCCAGGGAGCGTGGGTAGGCAGCCAGCGTGGGTGGGCAGCCAGCATGCATGGGTAGGCAGCCAGGGAGCATGTGTGGGCAGCCAGGGAGCGTGGGTAGGCAGCCAGGGAGCGTGGGTAGGCAGCCAGCGTGTGTGGGTAGGCAGCCAGCGTGCGTGGGTGGGCAGCCAGGGAGCATGTGTGGGCAGGGGACTCCTACTAGGAACTGCTTGTCTTTGAATTCCAGGAAGTCAGATCCAGAGTGGGAGAAGGGCATGTGCTTGCTCTGGGTTGTACAAGTACAGGTAGGCAGTACTGGGTGTTGGCAGGGTGTGCTCACTGAAGTAACTCCAAGTCCCTGCAGTAGACAGAATGTGGTAGCCCCTTTGCTGACATCACCCCAGCTCCCCTGGCACGTTAGTCTTGCTGTGTCCCTGCAGTAGACAGAATGTGGTAGCCCCTTTGCTGACATCACCCCAGCTCCCCTGGCATGCTAGTCTTGCCGTCAGCACATATCTCTGGGAGTTTTATGCCTCAACTGAGCAGAGTTCAGAAGTCTGGCTGCTGCTTCTCATGAAGTGCCAAGATAAAAGCATTGTCTGTCTCAGTCTGAACTGCAGGACAGGAAAGTTTACAGCTGGTGGTTTGGGATGTTTTCCCAGCAGGGTGTGCGTTCTAAGGAGGCTGTGATAATAAAGCTTCAGGATTCCTTTCAGGTGACTTCCACCGAACTGGCTCATGAAGGAGAAACAGGAACACACCAGTCCATGCTGGACAAGAATGACACCACCTTCCAGCCTCTGCCTGCTTCTGCTCGGAGCACTGGGCATCTTTGCACTTGGCCGCTTCACCAAAGGTCAGAAGAACAGCACGCTGATCTTCACAAAGGGAAATACCATTCGGAACTGCAGCTGCCCTGTAGACATCAGAGACTGTGACTACAGTTTGGCCAACTTGATGTGCAGCTGTAAATCTGTCCTTCCTTTTGCCATGGAGCAAACCAGCTATCATGACCATCTGACCATCTGGTTCACAGATACGTCCACATTGGGCCACCTGCTGAAGTTCACTCTGGTCCAGGACTTGAAGCTTTCCTTGTGTGGTTCCAACACCCTCCCTACCGAGTACCTGGCTATCTGTGGGCTGAAGAGGCTTCGCGTCAATGCTGAGACCAAGCATCCCTCCCGGGAGCAGAGCTTGCTCATCCACAACAGAAGGGAAGGCGGTTCCCTGTACAAAGGCTGGCAAACATGTATGTTCATCTCATTCTTAGATGTGGCTCTTTTCAACAGGGACTCATCTTTAAAGTCATACAGCATTGATAACATTTCTAGCCTCACCAGTGACTTTCCTGATTTTTCTTACTTTAAAGCTTCCCCAATGCCAAACAACAAAAGCTATGTTGTCACCATCATCTACTAGCATCCACCCACCAGGAACTCTCAAAAACTGACGGACCTTTTGAAGAAGGAATCTGGGGAGAAGGCCATGAGACAGGTGTGTTTATTCCATCTCTCAGCCTCCATTTACAACAAAGCCACACCTAAGAGCAGCCAGTTCCCCAGCTCCACTTCCAGTGCTGGGAGCTATTTGACTCCCGAGACATGTCCTGAGGGCCAGCGAGAAGCTAGGTCTCTATAACTGTCGGCCTGCGGACAGATGCCAGGCTAGAAGGGAGAGGGCAGTGCACACCAGGCACTATTTATTGGAGCCCAGTATAGGCATGGCCCCAAGGAAGGGATCTTTTCTCAGAATACAGTAATCCTTCCTTACCTGTGTGGGTACATTCCAGGATGTACCCTGATGATGCCTGATTGAGCCAACAGTACTAAACCCTGTGCCTACTGTATTTTTCCTAAATGTAAGAGACGTATGACAAAATCTAACTTATAAATTAAGATCACTGTGGGACTAACAAAAACTGTAACATACTGTAAGAAAGTTATGCAAACATGCTCTCACACACTATTACATAGTACTCACTCTTTCCATGACGATGGCTTCTCTTTGGCGTAGCCAAATTTCTAGCGTTGCTGCTTTGCGTGTGATGGCAATTATGGAGTAAAACATGGACTTCTGAATACTAACATGGTAGTCACAATAGTCGGTTTAATAACAGAGACAAGCCACTGAGTGCCTGATGGTTGGGAGTGTGTATAGTGTTTCTGTGACAGGCAAGGGGATGATGATTCACGTTCTTCACACTCCTCAGAACAACTCAAAGTTGACTACTGACTTCTAAGTGAAACTACAGATCAGGGACCACTGTGCCTTTTTTCCTTTTCTTCTTCATTTTTTGACATGGCCTGGAATTCCCTGAGTCAAAAATGATAGATTTCAGAGGTTTGAGGACCTAAATTCCTCTAAATGACAAATTCACTCAGGCCGATATTTTCCAAATAGTTGTGAAGAACAAATGCATTGAGAAATTGGCATTTTAAAAGTGTATTTATGGATATTGGAAAAGTAGAATGTCAAAGACTGGATGGAACCTTAACACTAAAGAATGCCTTGGGGTTCTAAGAGAGGGCACATAAGTGAAAATACACCAGACAACCACACACTTAACCTCAATCTTTTGCACAAAGTGCTGCTCCAGGCAAGGTTCTTTCCTGGTCCCTCCCTTTCACAGAGCACAGGCTGGACAAGGCTCTCTGGTCCCCCCTTTCACAGAGCACAGGCTGGACAAGGCTCTCTGGTCCCCCCTTTCACAGAGCACAGGCTGGACAAGGCTCTCTGGTCCCCCCTTTCACAGAGCACAGGCTGGACAAGGCTCTCTGGTCCCCCCCTTTCACAGAGCACAGGCTGGACAAGGCTCTCTGGTCCCCCCTTTCACAGAGCACAGGCTGGACAAGGCTCTCTGGTCCCCCCTTTCACAGAGCACAGGCTGGACAAGGCTCTCTGGTCCCCCCTTTCACAGAGCACAGGCTGGACAAGGCTCTCTGGTCCCCCCTTTCACAGAGCACAGGCTGGACAAGGCTCTCTGGTCCCCCCTTTCATGTCCTCTACTTTGGTTCGAGCATGTTTGTTCCCTCTATATCCTGACTCCTGTCTCTCATCATTCGCCCTCCCATCCTTCTCCCTCTTGCTCCAGGAATCAGAACTTTGGTTACTGTCAGGAGAACTGTTAAGCCACATTATGGATAGCTTGGGGATCTAACAATCACTTCTAACTCGAGGCTCAAATTATAAAGATTTAATTTTAAAATGAAATTTTGGTCCTGAGTCCATCTGGAAGTTTAAGATGAGAAAGTTAAGATACTCCATATGAGATAGTTAACACAAATTCATTATACATTTTGATAAAAGGAACCAGAGCAACTAAAATTATAGAGACCCAATTTACCATTAATGTGCAATATTTTTAAATACCCATGGTTCAAAGCTCAAGAGCATGTGCTGCTCTTCCAGAGGCCATGAGTCCAGTCTCCAGCATCTGCACTGGTTTACTCACAGCCATCTGTAGCTCCAGCTCCAGAGGAGCCAACAGGAACTTGTACATATGTGGCGCGCACACACACACACACACACACACACACACACACACACACACACACACACACGGATAAGGACTAAAACAAACCATTTAAAACCCATGCCAGTAGTGATACAAATGTCTGAACTTAGAATAAAACAAAGTGGAAACATTTATGAATTCATGATACCATAATGGTAAGAAATAATTTTATTGTAAGATCACAAGTTAGTCACATTTATCATATTTTTTCCGTCTTAACCTTAACATAAAGTAACTCAACCTGAAATTTCTACATTTGCATAATTGACAAGGGATTTGGCCATTCAGACTAATTAATATGGGTCCACAAGGTCAGCATTTAAATTAGGCCAAACAAAGTCTAAACTACGGATTTTAATAGAAAATGCCATGGCCTCATTACTGATATAGTTCAGAGGCGACATTAAAATTAGGGAAAGACAAAGAGTTGGTAAAGAAAAAAAAAGAGAAGGCAAGAAAGATGCAAATAAAATGATAAATTTTATGTCTTTACCATCGCTACTGAATACATTACAAACTGAATTTGGATGGAAGCCTATTAACAATGTATGAAAAAGTGAAGTTAGAAATTACATGTGCCCATAAAGGCCTTCCATCTGGGAGCTGCTGCTGGCCGAGAGCCTTTCACATGTGGGTTATGTGATTTTTATGAGAACTGTTGTGGGCCACGTGGGTCGGGACCAGCAGTTTGTCACCTGCAGCCAGCTGGTTCAGGGTTAGCTATCATTTTGAAGATCAGGAAGACAGATATCTTCCTTGTATACTGAAAGGGTAGTAAACATTGTGAAGATCAGGAAGACAGATATCTTCCTCATATACTCAGGGGGTGGTAAACATTGTGCTGGTGTATGGTTGTGAAGCACACAACTTGTGAATAATAATAGATATTATCCTTTATCTTAAGCTCTGTGTACAATTCTCAAAGAATGTTTTGTTTGATTTTTGCCAAATTCTTGTATCTAATGGTTGGAATTGGTGAGAAAATAAGGGTCTCATATAGACCCCATTTGATATTTTCATTTATGTTAGAGATAAATGTAACATTAAGATACAAAAATACATATGAATATCACTTGTTAGTCAATGATGTAAATACTTTTTACAAAATCAAATAGTATTTTCAAAAACTACAGGAATTTCCTTAATTTGGAATACTATTTGCAATGTAAAGGTTATAGATATGACACATTATAAATTTAATCTGTATTTTTCTATCATATCCAACAAAATAAAAAAAGACTGTATGCAGTTCTTTCCGGTTTCAGTTATGCAAATGCTGACTATTATTAGTTTCAAGCTATTAAGAGAATTGAGAAAAGCCTCAGTGTGCTGAGATACAACTCAGCAGGAGAGAGCTCGCCCATACAAGTATGCCTGATTTAAATCCCCAGCACAACACACACACAGGCACGCACGCACGCACGCACAGTGCATGCCCCTGTAGACGCAATACTCACACATAACTTCAAGAGCATGACTACAAGTGCAATATAGTTAAGAAAATTATAAACCCATGAATTTTGCTGTTACAGGGTGTGACTATGACTTTCTCCATGAAATCCAGAACTGATGAGGAAGAGAGCAGGCAAGAAGAGGGTAGACAGTGGGCAGTGCAGAGTTCACTGGAGGTAGAGTAAGTGGACTGCTCAGGCAGGGTGGGGCAGCCAGCTGTTGGAGAGGACTCAGTAACTCCCAGGGACTTGGGTTAGGGGCCAAGCTGCAGCCGTCAGGCAGGTGGCTGAAGTGGAGTGGTAGTGAGGAGGATTATTAAAACTGGTTTAGGCAATCAAGACTGTGAGGAGGTCTCACTGGAGTATCGGTGGGGCTAAGAATAAATGAAAGAATGTTCGCGAGCAGCACTGAGAAATGCAGTTAGAGTGTAGCTAAGATGATAAGCTGTGTTGACTTCATCTTCTCCATTTTTAAAGTGCAGGCAATGTTTTCAGTTAGAAAAGCTTACTTGGAAGTCCACTTGAGTTTTAATAAATTCAAAGCTCTATCTCACTCTTCTCCCTATAATCACGCTATATACTCTTCCTGAATATTTATTACACAGCTTTGCTGGCTTCTGGTAAAACTCAAAATATACATACGCAAAAAGAAATACTAATTCTGTTTTATACCCATAGGGGATATTTATAAACCTGTTGTCTTAAAAAATTTATGCACTTTAAAATTCTCCTGCAGTGGGGAAATAACATATAGATGACAGTAATATAACATAGGCCATAGGCAGGTTCTTTTAAAAAAGGATGCATTGATAATTTTGCTTTTTCACTGGTCAGACATGCATTTAAAGTATGCATTATGGATTAGATTGTATTCAATACATTTAGATGCTACTGAATGTAGTCTAAATCTAAACAATTCTAAAAGTTAACCTGAGTCTAAAAGAACTTTGGTTCTGAGTTACTCTGCTTCTGAGATGTGAGACAATGACCTGGATAGAGTGCCGTCAATGCTCATTTTGTATGACATGTTCTAGGAAAAGTACTTCAGGAGACAGGTACTCTGGAGTTACTGTTGATTGTCATGCAAGATAATGTCCTGTCTTCATTCTGGAAATCCTTAAACACTCTCTAACAATAAAGATACTTGATGGCCATTGCTACCTGTGTTAATTTTTTTTTTAATGACAAAACAGCCCTCTCTAAATCTTTAAAATCTAGATTGGGTCACTATTAATGGCTTGATGAAAAAAATATTATTTCACTGAATTAGAATCAGTGGCTAAATTTTAGTAGAGTTTCAAACAAACAATTTAGAATTGAGGGGGAATGGTGTTAGGAAGTGATTTAGGACCTCACACTTGCCAATCACACACTCTACCATTGAGCTGCGCACTAAACCTAGGAAGTTTTAAAGAGTCTTTGTTAGGGCCAGTCATGTGCTATGGATGGAGGCACTGTCTCTACCCACAAGTTGCTTGCAACAACTGCATATCTCAAAGCAGTTTTTTAATAAAAGGTATATCTGAAATATTATACGCTAGCACACTTTTAAAAGATTTTCATAATTGAAGAGATAAAAAATATAAAACTGCAAAGATTCACTTATTTCATTAGAATCTTTTGGTTCTATGGTTGGTGTGTTTGTTGTTTGGGGCAGGGTCTCACTATTTAGTCCTGGTTGGGTTAGAATTTGCTATATAGACCCGACTGGCCTGGAACTCACAGAGATCCACCTGCTTCTGCTTCTGCTTTTTAAAAATTGATACATTCTAAGTAAATTCACACAACAAAATAAGATGTTAACAACAACAACAAAGGAACTTACTATAAGGGTTCCAGGGCACCCACAGACAGTCCATCCAACTCCAGGGAGCCCTGAGAGTAGGGACCTGCTGTCCCCTGTGCTCTGTGCCTGACTTCCTGCACGAGCTGGTTCTCCTGGTTCCTGAGTTTCCATGGTGTATCAGTCAGGATGACAGTCCAACATATTCTGTCTTTTTTCTTGAAGTTCTGGGGAACCAAGCAGGGCCTTGCACACAGTAGGCTAGTATCCTCACCCATATTCTGTGTATAGACCTTCCTTTGCTGTCTCTATTGTATGCAAATCTATCTCAGGGTGCAGGTGTCTGGAGGCTGACCAGGCACAATTCGAATCTTTTGTTATTGAAAATGGGGGTTCAGTTTGACTAAGGATGCTATCACCAGAACTTTACCAATGCTGAATAGCCAGAACATAAGAACCCAGAGTAATAGGAGTAGAGTAGAGGTCACACAATACTTTTCCTGATCACTGAGGAAAAGGGTTGTAACTGCACATCTGGGTCCTAGGAGGGCAATCTCAAGTCTAGCCAAAGAGAACTGGAGGAAAAAACCAATTATAGGAAATAGAAATTACTGGTAGAAGTGGGACCTTCTAATTCAATGATAAATTTAAAACTCATTGAAAACTGGAGGGCATGGTGTAGGCAAAAAGATACAGTCATGTTTGCTGGTACAAGTACAAACCACACAAGTTCTACACAGGGCAAGCTAGAATTAGGAAAAATAAAAAATGCTACCTGGGGCCCTAGCAATTCTAATCTAGGATAATCTTATAGATGTGACAGTTTTTCAAAGCTCTTCAGGGTAGTGTTGGTTATTATAGAATAAGGGATATTTTTACTCTCAGGAATTTCAATAATTGTGTAAAATAAATTGACAGATTAATGGGAAGGAAGCTATCATGCACATACACATGTCTCATAAAATGTGAGACTCAAGGAAGGAGATGAAGCGTTTAGAACACATTTGACTACAGAAAGGAATAGAAGTTAAGGTTTTTGGGGAGATGGGTGGTGATGAAATTTTTGGCAGGGTGGAAGGAGCAACATTATGGTGAATAATGGTCATCTTGCTCTGCAGGTAAGTCTCTTAAGGTGGTAAAAGTCACATTGGAGTAGCCCATCTGGATGGGACAGGGACCCATCTGACATGGCCTCCCTTCAACCTCTCCTCTGTTGTTAGGGTTCCCTGGTTGATGGGATTCCCAGGGAGGAGCTAAGACAGCTGTGTCTGCTTGTGGCGACTCTAGCTTCAGGTTGAAAGGAGAAGTGCAGAGAAAGCCTGGCCCCGCATTTCTTTTAATGGGGACAGCGAGGTGGTGTTGTTTAGAGAGGCCGTGGATCTCCTTTAAAATACCCCACAAGCCCAAAGCCCCCCAGTTTGAGGTTTTGGGTTTTTTGTTTGTTTTTGCTTCATTTTTTCTTTTTTAAGACATGTTTTCAGCCCAGAGGTGGTGGTGGTGGTGCAGACCTTTAGCCCCAGCACTCAGGAGGCAGAGGCAGGTGGATGTCTGAGTTTAAGGCCAGCTTGGTCTACAGAGGAAGTTCCAGGAAAGACAGGGCCACACAGAGAAACGCTGTCTCAAACAAACAAACAAATGACTTGTTTTCATGTATCTTAGACTGGCCTTCAACTGGAGAATAGATGACCAAGAACTTCTGATTTTTCTCCCTCTACTTCCCAGTGCTGGGATTACTTCCAAATAAGCATATTTTTTAAAATGATTTTTATCATTTATGTATATTTGCCTTCATGCTTTATGTGAACTATGTGTGTGCTTGGCACTCAAGGAGGCCAGAAAGGGTTTAGAATCCCCTAGAACTGGAGTTATTCATAGATGTAAGCTGCCATGTTGGGTGCTGGGAACCAAATCCAGGACTTCTGCAAGAGCAGCAAAGAGCTCTTAACTTCCAAGTCATCTCTGTGGCCCCTAACATGCATTTTTTAAATCACTCTCACTTTTTATACAGATGGTATGTAACCAAAGTGCTTTTAGCCTGCATGTAGGATGGCATGTACAGCTGGTACCGCATGCATGCAGAGACCAGAAGAGGGCATCAGATTCCCTGGAACTGGAGTTAAATAGTTGTGCACTGCCCTGTGGGTTAGGTACTGGGACTCTAACCTGGGTTCTCTGGCTCTAAACTACAGAGCCACCTCTCTAGCCCTGTTTTAAGGGTTCTGAAATATATATATGAATCACAAACACACCTAACAGGATGTTTGTGATTCTGTAAGGGTAAGGTAAGAGTCAAGCTTGGTGAGGAAAAGTTAAAGTGTGTTAGCTCAACTTCAGGCCTCAAGGCTTCCAAGGTTCATATTTTTCCTCTGTGATATAGTCTGAAAAAGTCAAATTTTCCTTCCATTTTGTCTTAGCATTTTTATTGCTGTGCAGAGACAGACACCATGACCAAGGCAACTCTTATAAAGGAAAACATTTCATCGTGACGGCTGGCTTACAGTTTCAGAGGTTCAGTCCATTATCATCATGGTGGGGAGCCTGGTAGCATGCAGGCAGACATGGTGCTGGAGAAATAGCCAAGAGTACTACATTTTGCAGGCAACAGGAAGTCTATTGAGACACTGGGTAGTATCTTGAGGAACCTCAAAGCCCGCCCCCATAGTAACACACTTCCTCCCACAAGACCATACCCACTCCAGCAAAGCCACACCTCCTAATAGTGCCACTCCCTGTGAGATTATGGGGGCCGATTACATTCAAACTATCACACATTTGTTTCTGAAACAAACGCTTTGGGGAAAAAATAGTTTTCCTATTGCTAGCAAACTTTTTTTTTTCTATCAACTTTGCTTGCTTGGGAATGACTGTGGTAGCAGGAAGGGGCATCAGCTCTGAGGCTTTTTTGGTTTTGTTTTTGTTTTCAAGACAGGGTTTCTCTGTGTAGCCCTGGCTGCCCTGGACCTTGCTTTGTAGACCAGGCTGGCCTCGAACTCAGAGATCCGCCTGCCTCTGCCTCCCAAGTCCTGGAGCTAAAGGTGTGCCCCACCACTGCCTGCCTCTCTCTCCCTCCCACCCTCCTCCCGTCCCTCTTTCCCTCTCTCTTGGAGACAGGGTCTCTCTCCCTCTTTATTTATTTATTTATTTATTTATTTATTTATTTATTTATTTATTTATTTATTTATTTTTTGGTTTTTTCGAGACAGGGTTTCTCTGTGTAGCTTTGCGCCTTTCCTGGAACTCACTTGGTAGCCCAGGCTGGCCTCGAACTCGCCTGGCTCTGACTCCCGAGTGCTGGGATTAAAGGCGTGCGCCACCACCGCCCGGCTTATTTATTTATTTTTATTTTATTTTATTTTATTTTTTTGAGACAGGGTTTCTCTGTGTAGCTTTGTGCCTTTCCTGGAGTTGGAGACCAGGCTGGCCTCGAACTCACTGAGATCCGCCTGGCTCTGCCTCCCGAGTGCTGGGATTAAAGGCGTGCACCACCACCGCCCGGCTCTCTCTCCCTCTTTAACCTCCCAGATTCAAGGCCAGTGCTACCAACGTCCCAGGTCTCTTGAGCTCTTTGTTTTGTTTTGTTTTCTGTTATGTGGGGCTCGCCTAGAGGGTATTTTGTCAAGGAAGGCAGCCTATGTCTTTGAAAGTGTTACGTTGCGACAAAGCTGTAGAAACCAGCAGCATGAATAAACAGAGTTACTGATGACTACTAGCATCACCTCTCATTAGGAGCAGGAACAGTAACCATGGGAACGCACTTTCCCTTTCAAACCCCAGGCTAACTGGCTCCTCCCCCCCGCTTCGCCCCGCCGCCGGGCCTCCCGCCTCTGTTTACCCTGCTTGCGCCGCGTGGGAGGTGTCCACACGCCAAGGCTTCGCGTAAGCGCGGTAGACGCATTGCAGCAACCTCCTGGGAGACGACAGACTACACTCTTCCCTCTCATCTCGATGATCCTCTTTGTGACCTTTGGAACAACACGGGAGTCGGAGGGTTCCGTGCCCCACCCCCACCCCCACAGTCCTCCGGGCCGCGAGGGGGCAGTGCAAAGAGACCCCGCCCCAGTGCGCGGAGCGCGAGGGAGGCGCGTGCGCACTCGACGGTGCGTGGTAGCAGGCGAGCGCCGCGGCGACCCGGCTCGAGCGCTGGCGAGTGCGCGTGCGCCGTGGCGGTCTGCGCGCTCTCCCGTCCTCTCCGTCTGCGAGCGGGTGTGCAGGCGCGGTGCCGGCGGCGGCTGGGATGTTCCGAAAGGCCCGGCGGGTGAACGTGCGCAAGCGGAACGACTCGGAGGAGGAGGAGCGGGAGCGCGATGAGGAGCAGGAGCCGCCGCCGTTGCTGCCGCCGCCGGCCTCAGGCGAAGAGCCGGGCCCTGGCGGTGGCGACCGGGCCCCCGCCGGGGAGTCGCTGCTGGGCCCGGGACCGCCGCCGCCACCGCTGCCGCCGCCGCCGCCCGCCGCTCACGCCCCAGGCCTCGGCGCTGAGGCCGGAGGCGGCATCCCCGGCGGCGCGGAGCCCGGCAACGGGCTGAAGCCGCGCAAGAGGCCTCGCGAGAACAAAGAGGTGCCCAGGGCCAGCCTGCTCAGCTTCCAGGACGAGGAGGAAGGTGAGCCCCCGCCCGGCCCACGCGGGCCCCCGAGCCCGGGCTCGCCCGACGGCCGCGCCCCTCTCTCCGCCCCCGGCCTTCTGCTCTCTGCCCGGGGATGCGTTCCCGCGCTGCCACCGGCCGCGTCTAGGCCGGCCTGTGCGGTGCCCCCTCCGGGCTGTCAGCTCAGGTCACCGTCCTGGGTGGAAGCGGAGGCCCGCTGCTCCCTGGCCCGCCTCTTTCCTGCCTCGCGAGTCCCGGACACCACGAGTCCCTCCTCGGTTGACTGCCTGCTCCCAGTGCTCTGCAGGCCTCGGGACCTGCAGCCGGTGGGCTTCTCGGTTTAGGCATCCTTGACCGAGAAGGCCCGGTTGTTGAAGAGGGGGACCCAGCGGGGCCGGGAACCAATGTGGGGCTGCAGCCCCGGTTCCGAGTGACCTTGAGCCGATCAGTCCCTTGTCGTTTCTCTCGGTCTCTCTGTAGAAGTAAAGGGGCGGAGCTGATGTCCGCTCTAACGTTGGCTCTTGAAGCAGAAGAGAGATCGGGCCGCAGGGAGTTTAGATTTCTGAGCGTTAAATAATTTTAACTGCACCTCAGTATCACATTGTGAAGATTCAGATGAGTTTCCAGAGTCTGGAGTCATGGTTCTAAAACGGTTCCGTGTTTTTAGAAAGATGTGTGGTTTATCTTTGGCCTCCCTGCTGTTCTGTTTGAACCGGAGGTACAGGTCAGGTTTTGACTTTGATGATACATGGAGGCGGGGGGAGGGGTTGGTGAAGTTTTTGTTCTCGACTTGGATTTTCAAATCGAAGATGAGGAATAAATCACTCAAACTCAGTTTTGCAAAATGCTTTACTTTACGCATATTCTTGAAGTAACTCATTGTGACGAGAGTTACTCAGGCTTGGGAGAACCTTGAAATTTGGGGTGTGTTGTTTCAGCTTTCTTGATTTAATTTTTTTTTTTTTTTCCCTCGAGACAGGGTTTCTCTGTGTAGCTTTGCGCCTTTCCTGGAACTCACTTGGTAGCCCAGTCTGGCCTCGAACTCACAGAGATCCGCCTGGCTCTGCTGGGATTACCACCACCCGGCTTGATTTAATATTTTAAGGAAACATTCTGAATATTTTTTTTTCTCCTGTGATAGATGAAATAAGCCAAAAATTAAGATTTTTGTGAAGTTCCTTGGGCCACCCATTAAAATTTTCAGATTTTTATTTACTTTCTGGGATTGATAGCAGTTTTTTGCTTTTGATTTTTTGAGACAGGGCCTCTCTATGTAGCTCTGGCTGTCCAGGAACTCACTTTGTAGACCAGGCTGGCCTCAAATTCAGAGATCCACTGCCTCTGCCTCTCCAGTGCTGGGATCAAAGGCGTGCACCACCAAGACTGGCAATATCAGTTTTTGAGGCAATGACAGATTGAAATAAACTTTGAATTTCTTAGTGATTTTTTTGCATGTGAAAATATATGTGTGAGAATTCAAGCAACATGAAAACGGGGAAGGGAAAACATTTTCTGAGTTTGTTTGCTACAGATTTCATTTCATTTCTTTTTTTTAAGAAAATGAAGAAGTTTTTAAAGTAAAGAAATCAAGTTACAGCAAAAAGATAGTTAAATTGCTTAAGAAAGAATATAAAGAAGATCTTGAAAAATCAAAAATCAAGACAGAACTCAACACAGCAGCTGACAGTAAGTACTAAACAATCCTTTCAAATGGCGGGCAAATAAGAGCTCTTTCCCACAGTGCTTTGCAGTCTATATTATGAAGTCATTCTGCTGACCAGTGTCCACATTAAGTTGCAGTGCTGTTCTGTAATTGTTTTCACACTTTTTTTTTTTTTAAAAAGTAGACTGTTGCTCCTGAATTCTTGCTAGTGTAGAGGCTATTGTATGGAGAAGGGAGAAAGATTTCCTATTTCAGCCCTAGAGACAGACTTACTCTATTGAAAGTTCCTGTACTGCTATTTCACAGAGACAAACTTTTGATGACTTTGGTAGTATTTCCAGTGTAGATTTAACTCTTACAGGACTTTTAGGAATACCGTAGGTTAATGTGATAATATCAGCACTCAGCATCCCTATCTGACATGAGACCAGGTACACTGTCTTCTTGACACCCAAATTTAAATCCCTCCCTTCTCTTTCTCTCTCGCTGGAGGCAAACATTCTCCCAGTAAGCCAGGCCCAAAGCTTAAAATGTTTCAAGTAGTTATATGATAATGTGTGTAGTCATTATAATCTAAGTTACTCTTATGCAAATGTTTCAGAGAAATCTTTACTCTGTAGAATTAAAGGGAGTGTTTCTCAGATTCTCGGCTATAGGTATGGCATGAATAAGAATGCTATTGTATCTCAAATTTACAATGTAGTTGCGGAGACATTATTATGTGAATGTCCAACGGAAGTGTTAGCAAAATGTCCAATGAGTAGGCCAAAGGATAACTACTTTTTTTTTCTGGAAGGAGGACAACTTCATAGAAAAGTAGGACATGAAGCTGGATAGTTGATGATTAGAATTCCCAAAATAGAAGCAAGTATCCGAATATCACCAGGGAGTGAAAGCAAGCACATTGGACTAGGCCTTTGTAAAGGAAGTAGTTAGTGTTTGAATGGGAAAGACAAGTTGTTGAGAGGTTGTAAAGGATGGCTGAAGTACAGTGAGAGGCATTTCGTGGCTGGCCAGGGTACCAGGCGTAGTTCAGGAGAGATGGACGCCTTCAGCAGTTTCAGCTCAGCGGCTGACGTTGGTCCTTAGTGAGTTGAGTAAGGTTGATACTTTTCCTGGCCCTGGAAATTGTGGATGGGTTAAAAGTGGTTGTTATTGCTGGGTGGTGGTTGTGGCACACACCCTTAATCCCAGCACTCAGACAGAGGCAGGTGGATCTCTGAGGTCGAGGCTAGCCCAGTCTACAGAGTGAGTTCAGGACAGCCAGGGCTACACAGAGAAACCCTGTCTTGGAAAACCAAAACCAAAAAAAAAAGAAACAAGAAAAGTGCTTGCTGTGGGTGTGGGAGATGTGGAAAGTGGCCTATTTGAGAAACATTCCTAGGGAAAATTGGTACACTTCCCGTATGCTTTTGCTATTGAAGAAGCACCCAAATTAAAGCTTTGTGCCAGGGTAAATGACAGCTGTTGTGTATTGTGTTCTGGTGTGGGGAAGGCAGGTTGGGGAAGAGTATTTTTAGGAGAACTTACTATTTTTTCATCTTGGAAACTGTTCCGTTTCTCCCAGAGTCGTTGAGTATCCATCATGTATGGTGAAATAGTGCTCAGGTCACAAAGGGGAAATTAAGAAAGGCCTGGTGGTGTGTTTACCACGTACTGTTAGTTCAGAATCGAAGTAAATAGGAAGTTCTTAAGGCCATCTTTTGTGATCTTCCGGTCTTCTACTCTCCCTGGGTTCTGATACTCATCGGGAACTTAGTGTTCTTTCTGGAGGTAGAACCTCTGTTGGTATGTGTCACATACTGTCATTGCTGTTATTGAAATGACAGTCCTGGAAGCTTTTGTTAACACGTCATCCAGAACTCTTTGTACCTATACGTACTTAGGTAAAGTACGTATAAGTACTTAGGTAAAGATGACTTAACTTCAAACCAAGGATGGACTTGAAAACTCTGGTTTTGTGGTATTCCTAACTTAAACTGAAGATCTTAAAGGAGTCTTGTTCAGACAGGCTCTTATCCAGCCAGGTTGGCCTCAAACCAACATAGGAAGGGTAACCTTGAATGATGGTCATCCTGCTTCTACCTCCTTCCAGCTGTGGGCTACCGTGCCCAGGTCATGCAGTCCTTGGTCTCAGACCTAGGGCTTCATGCACTCAAATAATAACTAAGCTGCACCGTCAGCTTCATAGGAGGAGTCCTAAACAATGGTAATTTAGCATTGCTATGGAGAGAATTGCTAACAGCCACTAACCAAGGTGTTAAGTTGCCCCCATGGTTTGCCCTGGTGATCTGCAGTCATAGTCTGGTACGTGTGAACTTGGCGGAGTCGTGGAGTGTACAACTTTGCCTGTGGTTTGGAAATGATGTCTGTAGTAACAAATTGCACTTGTTAAGCTTTATTTACCATTTATTTTTCTCCCCACCTGAATTTGCCCTTCATAGACGTCAATGTATTCGTAAGTTTGAGGTGTAGTACTAGAAGAAGAACATACATCTATAAATGTACTAAACTAGTTCTTTGTGTGTACACACACACACACACACACACACACACACACACACACACACACTATGCATACTGTAAATATAGTAACTTTTACCTGAGAACCAACTAGGGGTTGTTTAACCCTGTATACTCATTAAGATGCCTGTTTTTAAAAAATGAAGGGAAAACCTCCTCAGAAAATAGCAAATGTTGATAATATAAAGAAATTGGAATATTTATGCACTGTTGGTGAGGAAGTTAAACAACAAATACAGTATGATTTGATTTGATAATACTTGATACTTAGAATCATCAAAATTAATAGCTGGAATAGTTGCTGCCAGGACCTGGATAGAGGAAGAGAACTGTGTATGAGTAAACTAGAAGACTCAGGAATGCCACTTGTAACACACTGAAAAGAAGCAGAACCTAGTTCTTGAGGAGGGGTTTTTCGGAAGGGTGAGTTGTGTGCTCATCTTCATAGCATTTACAACAGCTTGCACATGGACAACATGTCCATCTGCAGACTGGTGTGTGTGTACATGCAGTGGGATTCTGAACCTGGGAAGGAACGTCTGACACAGACTGTAATTGAAGGAACCTGGGGATAGCATGCCAAAGCAGCTCATTGTCAGCAGCTGCGGTGTGATTCCAGTTCTAGAAGACGAAGCAGCCTAAGATGAGAGTTAGAACGAAGGCTTCCAGGGACCGGACAGAAGCAGAGGTGGGGATGGACGTGAGCTCTTACTGACTCCTAAGTGTATATTTTCAGTTTAACAGTATGTGGAGAGTAATGGGAATGAGTAGTAGTGATGGTTACACAGTATCATAAATGTATTTAATGTGAACTACACACTTAAAAATCTTATAGATTAAAATTATTTGGAATGTGTGTGTGCATGCATGCCACAAGGTGCATGTGGAGGTCAGAGGGTAACTTGCAGGAGTCAGTTCTCTCCTCCTACCATACGGGGAGCGAGGATGAAGCTCAGGGCATCAGGCTCACAAGACAGTTTGATCTGCTGAGCCATCTTCCTATAATGTAGTCAAGTTATGTGTATTTTACCACAGCAATAATCGCAAAAGTGATACGAGAACATTAAGATTTCTATAGAATCATTCATCATTTGAGTGTCTGAGAAGCCATTGTACTCAAGGTGGCTCAGCGGATAAAGGTGCGTGTTGCCAGTATGGCCAGCCTTAGTTCAGTCCCTAGAAACCCACAAGTAGAGGAGAGAATTGATTCCTGCAGGCTGTCCTTTGACCTCTATATGTACACCGTGGGACCATGTGCCTACACATAAAAATAAATATCAAAATTTTTAAATAAAAAGAAAGAGATACTTGATCTAACCATGTGATTGATGAACTGATTTTAAAGTCTTGGGCTTCGGGGTGCACTTGAAAGGGAAGTCGTTGACCAACCAGGTAAGGCAACACGTTGAAGAACACCATTCCAAGTCTGAAAGAGGATGATGGGAGTTTTCTTGGCAAGGTTGCAGAGAGCATCTTTCCTTTTAGATAAATAAAGTACTGCTCTACTCCTTAATTTGTGCTCGTTGCTCCAGAATGAGCATTATCAAGGTCAGTGGTTCAAGGTAAAAACACTTGGGTTTTCTTGATCTTTGCCTGGAACAAGTGATAGCAGAGAGTCTGTTAGTTTTAAATATTATAAACCAAGACAGTTTATCACAAAGATGAGCACATACTGGGAATGTAGTCTTAAACCAGCCTTCAGCTTAGACTGGAGTTGATAACTCGAGAGCTCTGTCTACCTTCCAGAGCTTCCTCCCTGCTTTACATGTCGTTGTTCTTAGTGTCATGTATTTCCAATTTGTCTCTGTCTCAATTCTGGGCTCTCAGAACTACCAGGTTTTCTCTGCTTCATGGTACATACTTTAACGTTGAGTTTTGATAGTTGGGTCAGGCTTGTACATTGTAAATGTAATTGTTAGGTTCTCTTCCAGATGAAAAGTCACATTTATACCGTCGCTCAACCATCAAATACTTTGTTCTCAACAGAAAGCTATCTTGAATGGGTATCGTGTTTAGTGAGAAACTGATATAAAGTGGAAAATGAAATAAAAAGTGTGAACAGGCACTGGAGAGACGGCTTGGCAGTTAAGCAGCACTTACTGCTCTTGCTAAGGACTGAGTTCAGTTTCCAGCACCTACATGGGGTGACTTAAGACAGCCTGTGACTTTGACTCCAGGGGATTCAGTGCCTCTGGCCTCTGAGGGTACCTGCACCGTGTACACACCCACGTCCAGACACACACACACACACACACACACACACACACACACACACACACACACACACACCCCTGTATGTAATTACATAGTTAGGGATAATAAAATCAAATGATTAAATACTACCTTTACCAGTGAGGTTTTAGAGAAAGATAGTTATAAATTTTGATGAATTCCTCACAAAATTAATTAAAACATCATTGTTTTCCTGTTTCCTCTAAATTGTTTTACCTTTACGCACATGTCTACTGTGCTATTTCATATTCATGCTTGAGTTAAGCACTAGAAATAATGTAAGTTTTCATGGATTGAGCTCATGATTTAATAAAAAGTGCCTTGCTAGTTTATCTGAGTTTCTATTTTAAATAAATTTCGATTGTTCTTTTCAAAAATTCAGATGACCAGCCTCTGGACAAAGCATGCCATGTTAAGGACGCAAATCCAGAAGATGGAGTTATCATCAGTGAGCATGGTGAAGATGAAATGGACATGGAGAGTGAGAAGGAGGAGGAAAAGCCCAAGGCTGGTGGCACCTTCTCAAATGCTCTGTCGTCTTTGAATGTTCTTCGTCCAGGTGTGTTTACGTAGCTCTTAGATGAGCCCTCCAGGTAGCTGCAGTAGTAGAAGGGTTAAGTAAGTGTGTTTCTAATTTGGACATCTTTTTAAGGTAGGCTCTTTCATGTCTGCAAATGTAGAAAATAAAACAAGTTTTCTCAAGTTTAGTATTACTTAAAACGTACTTTAAAAACTATGTGTGTATGTGTGTATCTGTGTATGGGTCTGTTCGTGTGAGTACAGGTACTGAGGAGGCCAGAAGAGGGTGTGGGTTCCCTTGGGGCTGGAGTTCAGGTGGTTGCCAGCCACCTGCTGTGGGTGACAGGAACCAAACCAGGGCCTCTCCTCAAGTGAGACAGATGGGCTAAGTAAATGCCAGTGGTCCTGAGGGGTTTCTTCCCTGCCCTCTATCAGATAAAGACTTTTAACTCTTTACATAACTGCTTCAAAAAACCACAACTAATTGCTGTTATTTTTATGTGTAGTATCCTATAGGAAATAGTTTGCAAGTCCGTACACTGGCTAATCAGTTTTAAATCAGTGCTTTAAGTAGCCAAATTTAAATTATGAAGAAATACCACTTGACGTTTGTAAACAATTAAAGATGCCTCTGCTGGGCTGGGGAAATTGCGACTCAGTCTGGTCACCAGTTCATCAGTGGGATTGCATGTAGAGTTAGGAAGAGACATCAGAGCCAGTGGTAACTATGGAGCTGACAAGACTTACCTTGGATTATTTTACTCTTCCTGTTTTTAAGAAAATAAGCTTCATACCCAGGTACTTCTATGTTTTATCATTCTTAACATTTGTTTCCAGGAGAAATTCCAGATGCAGCTTTTATACATGCTGCAAGGAAAAAGCGCCAAATGGCCCGGGAACTGGGAGATTTCACACCTCACGATAATGAGCCTGGTAAAGGCCGCCTTGTCAGAGAGGATGAGAATGATGCCAGTGATGATGAAGATGATGATGAGAAACGCCGTATAGTTTTTTCTGTGAAAGAAAAGTCACAAAGACAGAAGATCGCCGAAGAAATAGGTAACTTGATGAAACCTGACAGCAAGCACAGGGTGTTGCTTTTCAGTGTGATTTGAAACTATAACATTGACATTTTTAACTGCTTTGCCTTAGAGGACTGTTCTTGCTCGAGCACAAGTATGTTCCATGGCTGATAGGTTTTCAGCATTTCTTGGGTAACCAGTATTGTCTTAAGTGCTTTTGCATAAATTTATATAATTCTCTTAAGTATTCTTAAGCCGTTGGTTTTGTGCTCCCTTTGTCAAGCTCAAATTAAGAAACCAAAGATTGTAAGCATAACATTAAATTCTGCTTTAGCTTTAAAGAAGGCTGCTGTCATTAAAACAGGCAAGATCATGAGTGTCAAGGAGATGAAAATGGACTTGTCAGCAAGATTAGTGCTGTGTTCCGTTCTTGTGGTAGGATCTTTTCCTTCCTGCTGTTGGATGTCGATTCCTTTTGTCGTGTTGCAGGCATCGAGGGGAGTGACGATGATGCGTTAGTAACTGGAGAACAAGACGAAGAACTCAGCCGGTGGGAGCAGGAGCAGATTAGAAAAGGAATTAATATCCCTCAGGTAAGAAGACTTAGACTTGGAGAAGGACAAGAGAGGTCTATCGAAGGGGTTTGCGGCACACAGTCACATTGGCTCTTCACCACTCATTCCTCCTCATGGTCAAAACATTGCACGTGCTTATGTATTCCTAGTGCTTTTAGAAGAACTGCTTTAAGTCTCGCCTTTATGGTAAGAATGGTGGACGCATGTCCGGTTTCTCAACTAGTCCTTCAGCAGCGGCTGCGGGAAGCCCATGACAAAAGCACAGTCTAGAGGCAGAAGGTGGGGTTGGGCCCGGCACTCAGTGAGTTCTCCAGCTGGTTCTGGTGAATGCTGAAGTTTGGGAATACTGCCTTGAACCAAATGTTGGCGGTTTTGTTGCTGTTGCTGCTGTTTAAATTTCAAAGATAGTTTCCTAGGTATGCAAACTAATGAGATTGATCAAAAGTATCTTCCAAAGTAGTTGCAGTAAAGTGTTTTGTAGCAGCATGGAGAAAGTTGCATAATGTGAGTGTATTTTACTGGTAGTGTTGAGAGCAGAGCATAGGAAAAGCCTTGGACTAGTTGCAAGAGTCTTAGTTAGAACTTCTCATTGCCTGTTTATTTTCTGACCAGAGGCAAGTCACTTATCCTGATAAAATATTACCTGGATCATTCCATCTCTAAACTCTGATAATCTGTTTTTCTGAAACTCATTAGAAAAAAAATAACGATTTTTATTAAGATCTAAGAATTTATACAACTCAATGTTCATTTGATTTTGAAGAATTCTGCATTTACTTATTTTAATTCCTATTTGGAAACTGGGTATAATTTTTTGCTTTTATTTTGTTCATACCTCTAGAGGCATTTTATATATATTTTAAGGTTAGCTATTAGTTTTCTCATACATCCATTTCTTTTCAGGTTCAAGCAAGTCAGCCCACTGAAGTGAATATGTACTACCAGAACACTTACCAGACAATGCCTTATGGTGCCTCCTATGGCATACCTTATAGTTACACAGCTTATGGATCATCAGATGCCAAGTCTCAAAAAACAGATAATACAGTCCCTTTCAAAACTCCCAGTAATGAGATGGCTCCCGTTACTATTGATTTGGTAAAGAAACAGCTTAAAGACAGGTAGGGCAGATCAACTTCTTAAAGACTTGTCCGCTTGCTTTCTGGTCCCTCAGGCAACTTGTAGTCTGGGGTAGCAGATGCAGAATGCCGGCAAAGAAGACTCCCTGGCCCACCTTCAGACGCTAAACAGAAGATGACTTCGTGCTTTGCTCTGCTCCCTTCTTGGATTACTACTGTGGAAGCCTCCAAGTTGTTAAAAGGCCGCTCCATGAGCTGGTCGAAGACAGTGCTGCGTTTGTTCCTCTTGGACTCTGAGAGTGGAGTCAAGAGATGGGGGGAGACGCAAAGCAGGGTATTTTGGTTAGCCCTCCAAATAACTATTTTGAAGTCTGTAAACTGCCTTTTTAAATGGATTTTTTACTTTTTTTTTTTTTATAAGAAAAGCAGTACAGACGGAAAGATGCATTCCAAGTATTTTTATGTTCTAATAGTGGAACTTAAATGCATTATAATATTGCAAGAGTCCTGACAGCATTGAATTCTAGATGTAAATGTGTTATATTTATCCTTTTGTGTTCTGAAGGTTGGACTCGATGAAAGAATTGCACAAAGCCAACCGACAGCAGCATGAGAAACACCTGCAAAGCCGCGTGGACTCCACCCGGGCTATTGAGAGACTAGAAGGGTCTTCTGGGGGCATTGGTGAACGGTATAAATTTTTGCAAGAAATGCGAGGGTATGTCCAAGACTTGCTTGAGTGTTTCAGTGAAAAGGTAAGAATGCAAAATTACTAATCTCTTTGAATAAGGCAAAAATAGGGAGGCTTTTCATAGAGCATCTTTTAATTCTCAGAAAATAATCCACTCACTCACCTTAGAATGCTGCAGTCATGCTTCGTTTTCTTTAGTCCGTTAGTTGAGGGCCCCACAGAGCCGTACAAACGAAAGAGAGCACCCCTGTCTTGGTGTCTGGTCAGGTCATTGGCCTGCGGTGAGTGGAGAGGAGAAAGGGGGTCACCTGACGGTTCCTTGTTTTTGTAGCTGCGGTCTGAGTTGATTCTTATTCTATCTTTCAGTACTTGTAAACATTTATAACGATCTGTTAGTAGTACAGTACGTGACAGGTTTTTGCTAGTTTCTTATACTGAATATTTTGGTGCTGTTTCTGTTAGTGGTTTCCATCTAACTAAAGCAATGCTTCATTCATTCCAGAAGCCATTCATTATCATAAGTTTTTATTCATTGAACATTTTTCATTTCTTCTGGATTCATTGCTTTAGCATGACAATTGATAGACTCTTTTGAATACATTTAAATAATGCATATGCTAACTTCTCAAGTAAGTTCCTGTTTGTTCGTTTGTTCGTTTGTTTTTAAGATAAATGTACTCCACCCATGTCATGCACAGACATGTACAGTAATAATTTAGAAATGTAAAGGGGGAGGAAGAGCAGCAAGATGGTCAGCAGGTAAAGATGCTTACTGTTGAAGCCCTGTGAAGATGGAAGGAGAGAATCGACTCCTCGAGCTGCCCTCTCACCTCCACACGTGGAAAGTGGCAGAAGCACCACATACATCATGCATGCACACACACAACAATAAATTCAAGGGAAAAATAGACAGCTGGCTTGTCAGCACTCATGTACTTAACCTTATCTTTGAAAAATTGAAAATATTAAAATCATGGTCCTTAAATACTCTGTCTCAGAATCTCAGATAGGAAGGCACATTTTTCTTTATCACTAACTAGGCTTTCTCTAGAATCTCTAAGTGTAAAATATAGTTGGATGGTTTTTTGTAAATGTTTACTTCACTACAGTAAAAACAAGGGCTTTAAAAAGACAGACTTGTCTCTCTGATGAATCTGAATGTTTCAGTTATGTGTGGTCAGATCTGGAATGGTAGCATTCATCAAGTCCTCTCTAGCACTTAGCATGGGTTGCTGAGTTTGTAAAGGAGCACCTGCAGTTGTGATATTCCTTGGGCCGGTCAGTTGCTTGGGGCCAGGACAGAAGCATGAGCTCAGCTGTCTGCTGAGCAGGGGTTGGAACAAGACTGGAAATGGGATGTCCATGGCAGAGCCAGCTAGAGTAAGGACCTTTGCCTGAAACAATGCTGTGTGTGTGGGAGTGCTCTCTGAGACCTGCTTCAAGTGTCTTGGCTTTTGCTTTAGAGAATTTACAAACTTCAGCACTCAAAATTGCAAACATAATGCTAACATATATAAAGTTAGATTACATCATCCCTGGATTAAGAATTAGTGGGACATAGTATCTGTTGCTGATTTATTAGTGTGTTTCCTCTCCTGATTACTATGTTCTTGGAGAAGTCTACGTCAGGTAGTGCTATATGGCCATAGAGTCACTTAGATATTTTTGTAGCAGGTCTGAAGCCTTACATAGTGAATACATTTTCAGTAAAAGGAGCAGATAGTGCTGTTTCAGAGATGCGTTCTTTCCTTCATTTTGACATCTCATATACATGCATCCAGTTGTATGTGCTTCTGAACGAAAATGTCCTGAGTTGTCATCCTTATAATAGTTGATGCTAAAAATTTAAAAATAGGGACAATTAGATATGAATGTTATGTTTAGTTATGTTGTATAAATACTCTTTCAGAGTAAGTTAAACATTTCTTTTGTTCCGTCTTTATGAAAATTAGAATGATTTTTAAACTTGAATCATCTGTCAAGTCATTTTAGCTTCCATGACTTAGTTTCCTCTCCAGTCCTCTTGTTAGGTTTTCATCTTCAATTTGCTCCGAAATACAGTAACAATGATAGTTTTTAGTTTGGAGAGGATAGAGAGGATAGAGAGGCTAAAGAAACTGTCCTGGTGCAAGCTCTTGAGATAAGTCGATACTATAAACTTGAAAAGAGATTAAAAGCCAGCTTTAAGCTTTAGTTGACAGAGTTGTACCTCAATCAGATAACTCTTTATGATGCCAGCACAGACTTGAGCTCTCACAGGAGAGATGTCCAGTCTGAGACTAAAAGGGGGGTACATCTTAGGGACCCTTGTCTTTAGTCTTGGCGATTGTGAAAGGGAGAAGTAGGAGTCCCAGTGACATGGCAGTGATTGGGAAATGAACATCGCAGACTGGATAGTGACTTTAGACTACAGGATACTGCTGACTTGCGGACATTGTTGCCTGTGGTGTGGCATATTGAAGAAGAAAGTGCCTCCACAGTTTGACCTTTCTGTGAACATTTGCCACTTTCACAATGGAATCGTGCAAGAATACACAACTGCTTTATTACAGACATCTTGGTATTCCACCTGCCTTTTTTATTTTACATTTACAGTCTGTTCAGTTCGGGAAGATGGAGTAACACTTGGTGCCAGTGTCCCCAAACTCTAGTGGTTAACAGTTGTACTAACAACCAGGAAACTAGAATTTCTGGTTTCCTGTGTATGTGTAGTGGTCCTTAGTGTTTTGTGAAAGTTCCGTAGCATTTGGTTGTTTTATAAAGTATCTATAAAGAAAGACCTTTTTTTTTTTAATTTTATTTTATTTAGATGTATTCATTTTGTACTAAGTAAGTTAGCTAGGTGTATTAGCTGGAAATTTTTGTTGACTTGAAAGCTGGTAATTTATGTCCAGATTTTATTACAAAATAAAGAAAACAAATATTTGCTAGGAGGAGAGACATTTCAGAGTTTGATTTCAGATTCGTTAGTAATAGGAATTTTATTTACCCTTTTAGTTTGATTGTCAAATGTATAATAAAGCTGCAGACTGGTGTGACATTACAGGGCACTTGGTATAAATGAGTAAGTGGTGAAAATCAGCTTACAGTTGATGCTGAAACAGGCCTGCTGTCTGCCGTAGATAGGGCCATTGTAGCAGATTTTGGCAGAGCACAGCAATTGTTGAAGCCAGAAAGTTTTTCAGATGTGGTGGGTGCCTGTAATTGCAGCATTCAGGAGGATGAGACAGGAGGAGCTTGGGCTCATAGTGAGTTCTAGACCAGCTGAGCTACACAGAGAGACTTCATCTTTAAAAATAAAAACATAAAAAGAAACCTAGAGAATTGCTATGTAGATCATGTTGCTGGAAAACTAAAAATGTAAACTTAGAAGACTTGTAAACACACCTTTTCTCTGAAGAGAAAGCACCAGAAGCTTACCATTCCTGACTTGTTGGAGCAGCACAGAAACAGTGCACTTCTTAAGTTAACTTGGCCGGGATGACCAGTGCCTGGGCTGTAAGAAGGGGGCTTCCTCACTTAGAAGTGACTGCTGCTCTGCTCGTGCTGGGACTCGTGCTTGTTTGTCCATAGAGTACTTTTTCAGAAAGCCGGAAATAGCGTGGACCCTCAGATGAGTAAGCAGCTGAGGAGTGTGGTGTTACGGAGTGTGTTGTATTTTTACAGGTGCCACTGATTAATGAACTTGAATCAGCAATACATCAGCTGTACAAACAGCGAGCTTCCCGCCTTGTCCAAAGACGACAAGATGATATTAAAGATGAATCTTCGGAGTTTTCAAGCCATTCAAGTCAGTCCATCTTGAAGGTTTTTATTTTTCATTAAACAACCTTGTTTACTTAGTGCAGACTAATTGAAAATTAGACCTTTCTCTTTTAAAAAGCTTCCTTGTCCATCAGCTAGGTAGATCAAAAGTTGTAACGCATGGACTTGGATTATGTTTAAGAATCCGTATGACCTAACCAAGGAACTGAAACTGCACTAATATTCTGTCAGTCTCCTCTTTCACCTTTAGAGCGTTGCAAATACATGATCAGTGTTATCTTAAAACCCCTGTCTCTGCCTGATTGATAGCCCACCCCACCTCTAGTTTCATTCTGTTCACGACACTGATACAGATGCTGGTTTTGATCACAGTAGAGATGCTGAGTTTAGGGACCTGGGAGGAGGGGGAGGAGGGGAAGGAGGCTGTGTTGTGTGGCACATGATAGCTTCAGGAGTAGAGGAGTTTGGTGCTGACCCTTTGGGTAAAGCAAATACTTTTGTATTTCTTTTTAAATGTGCATTTTTTTTCTAGTTTGCTATATATACATATTGTGTATTTCCTTTTTTAGTCAGCTAATGTCTACAATTCTTGAAATTTTGTGGAAATTGTAGAAGTTGAATTATGTATGACATGAATTATGAAAAAAAACCCTCAATTAATTGGAAACCTTTTTAAATTCCTGTAGTTGAGATTCCTTAGCCAGATGCCTTAGAAAACGTTTTAATTCCATTTCCCTCATTGTACTCCATATTCTTGGGTGGTCTGATGGGAATTCCTTAGTGTGGGTTCCTCATGGTTTCTTTGTACCTGTACTAGCAGTCCCTATAGGTCACAGTTACTTGACATGCTCATTTAAAATGCAGATCTTCCGGTTCCATACCTGGAGATTCTTCCTAGGTCCTTCCTATCCAGAAATCTGCATGTTAAACAACTGCTCCGAATAATTCATAAAGAGCCTAGTGCTGTTTTTAGAATAATACATAGCCCATCCTCCCAGTCAGGCATTGGATCCATGGCAAGCATCCTCCTGTGTGTCTGATGGGTGTTGGAGAGGTATAAAGAGAAGATGCAGTGGCTCTCAGATCTGACCCATGCACATTGAGCTGTGAGCCATTTGAATGGCTTTGGCCTGGTTTTGCTGTAAAAGTCTAAATTACATCATTGATATTGGGCACCTCAATGACTAATGCGTCCCTCCCAGATTACTTTTGATCCAGAGAGCCAGATTTCGGGGGCAGATTACAGGTAACCATAGTACATCTAAAGGAAATAATTTCCTCTTAAGTTAAATGGTGTGAGCTATGTATTACATTCACTATTCTTACTGTTTATAATCTGTTCTTCGTACTGTGAGGCGATATAGTTACTTGGAATGTGAAGTGAGAGTTATATGATGATGTGTGGTAATTTGAAAAATGGAAAGTGCTGCAAGAAAATGGAAAAGTGAAAAACAAAACACTATTCCTGAGGGGATATAATTGACAAAGATTTAAGGAAAATCACACGAGACATTAAGGAATCAATTCATTGTCCTTTTTTAAAAGAACAGCATCAGGCTTATATTTTATATAGTTTTTCAGAAACGAAGGAAGCCAAATCTTGAGTTTTTGATTTCTCACCTAAGTTAGTTATAAGTTGTAAGCTCTAGAGTATACTTCCTAATGTCAGCTATTTTGAAAGAAGAATAAAAAACTCAGTTTGAAAAAGTGAGTTTTTAAAAATAGTTCTAGAATAGTTTGGAGATATTGCAGAGCAGAATTTAGGGTTTGTTTTCCTGTTTCTCATTTCAGTAGCAAAAATCTACATGAAAAGTCTGCATGAGCTTTAAATGGTGTCATTCATCGTTTGTGTGTCTGTCTGCCCACCAATCCCTTGTTCTGTTTGTTTTCTTTTCAGTAACTATTCTATATTTTCCAGAATGTCTTAAGTAGAAATGAGGGAATGCAGAAGACATTTTCCTTTCACCTCGTACTCTAAGCAAGTTTGTCGAGCCACTGACCAAGTTGTCATTGTATCAGTGATCTGTTGGAAGCCCTCTTAGTTCTCACATGATGCACAGAGCTTCCATTCTTGCTTTTCTTTTTAAAAAAGAGTTGTTACTGTTTTTTAAATTCTGTGGATTTGTGTGTGTCTGTATATGCACTGAGTGCAGGTGCCCTTGGAGGTCAGAAACATAGAACCCCATAGCTACAGTTAGTGGGCTGTTGTGAGCTCCCCAATGTGGGTCCTGGAACCCCAACTCTGGGCCATCTTTCCTGTTCCCGTCTTGTGTCTTGTACATGAACAGACACTAGCTCCAGAAAGACCAGTCCTAATAACGGATCAAAGAGACTGAGGAAACAGACCTGCTGTTTGCAGTAGAGAACCTCAAAGCTCATGATAGCTTCAGGGAGATAATTTATGGGTATGTGGTGCTGGGGGCTGAGTCTAACTTCCTGCCGGCAGGCCAACTGTTTACCAGCTGACCTGTGTGTGTCCTTGGCCTTGGTAGTCACTTAACAAAGTGTGGGTGCTGTGAAGGAAATAACAAGAACCACCTTTTTGAAACGAAAATGATGCTGAAACGAAACTTGAACCAGGAGAGAGTTGGAAAGTAAAGATAGAAGATTACCATGGAGCTTTCAGAAGGAGGGCCAGACTTTTCCCCAGAGGCGTTCAAAAGTGACAAGGGATGCCTGATTCGGAAAGAGTAGTGTTAAATACACTTCCGTGACTGAGAGAGCATAAACTAGTAAACCCTTGACTACAAAGCTGTTATTTATGTCTTTCTACGTGTTTCTTTGCTGTCATTTTACATCATTCAGCATCTTTCTTAAAAATACTATTTTTTCCCTTTGCATGGATAACGTGGATTTTTCATTTGTTTGTTCATTGTACTAGGATAAGCTAGTCCTGTTACTTAGACAGAAATAGTAAGCCCAGCAGTAGTTGTGCTCTTAGAAATCAGTTTTAATTCTTCTACTTTTTCTCATGGAAACTCAATAATTCCAAGATTTGTTCTATACTAAAAACCTATCTAGTCCTATATTTAAAACTTATCTATTCATTGCAGAATCTTGCTGTGGGGATTAGCAGGCAGTTTTATCATAATGGCTTGTTCTATGCAAATTCTTTCCTCATGATTGTTGAAGGAAGACTGTTAATTTTAACTGTTTGTTGTTTTACAGATAAAGCTTTGATGGCACCCAATCTTGATTCCTTTGGACGGGATCGGGCACTGTATCAAGAGCACGCAAAACGTCGGATCGCAGAGCGGGAAGCCAGGAGGTGAGTCTAAAAATACTGGCTGGACATTGTTAAGGAAGCTGGATTTTGTTTTTTAATCTAAATTAAAAAATCAATGTTTGTTAACTAGGACTCGCCGTAGGCAAGCCAGAGAGCAAACCGGTAAGATGGCAGATCACCTCGAAGGCCTTTCCAGTGATGATGAGGAGACATCTACAGATATCACTAATTTCAATCTGGAGAAAGGTTAGACTTTTATTTGGAAACCAGACTCATCAAATTGTTCTCTACTTGGTTATACTTTTAATATTTTTTCTTTTTAGTGAAATTAAAAACAAAATTACTCTTATTTGTGTGTATGTCTGCATTCCACCATGGGCTTGTGGAGGCCATGGCAACTTGAAAGTGTTAATTTTCTCCTTCACTGTGTTAGTCTCCCGGGATCAGACTCAGGTTATCAGATTTGCTGGCCCACTGAGCCATTGTGATGGCCCTTGTGGTTTTTAATCATGAAATGGATAGAATTTTCGTGTCTTCTGTAATAAGCGAGGTACTGTTTTACATCTTTTTTTTTAATTGAATATTACAGTTCTCAGAATAAGAGTTAACAGTGTTAGGAGATTTAATTAATCCTTGTATACAAACCATGTGTTGGAGCCGTTGGTCCAGTCACCTGAAGCTGTCTGCTCTGAAAGTTGAGTCTGGAGAGGGATGTGTTACTTCACCCAGGTAGTGGTACAGCTGCATGCTGGGCATTTCCAGGATGTTCCTGAGTAAATTCTGTCTCCCACCATCGACTGGAGTCATTTGGATTATGTTGACTGGGCTAGTGGAGAACCTTATGAGTTGTGACTTTCCCCTCTGTTGACGTACTAGGGATTGAATTGAAGGTCTCACACTTGATAGGCAAACAATCTACCACTGAGCCATAGTCTCAGCCTTCAAACATACATTGTGAGACAATCTCTCCAAGTTACCCAGACTGACCTTAAACTTGTGGTCCTCTTGCCTCAGCTTCTTAGTGTTACCAGGCCCAGTTTCTCTGACTTGGGGTTTTTGAAACAGAGTCTCATAGCCCAGACTAGCTTCAGCTCATTTTGTGCCCACGCTGAGCTTCTACTCATTACCTAGTTAGAGATGTTCTTGCACTCCTGGTCTTCCTGCCTCCACTTCCTAAATGCTGGGATTACAGGGCTGGGATTACAGGTGTGCATCACCACAACGAACTTGGACTTTCTTATAGCCAACATTTGTGGACATCATGACATTTGATCCACAAAGAACGGGAACATTGTCAGTTCTGTCTGTGTGCCGGTCCCAAGGATTGGCCCCAGGTCGTGGGGCTTGGGAACAAGCTCTGTGCCCGCTGAGCTACCTCACCAGTGGAGAAAGTAAACTCCTGTGTGCTACGAGCACTAAGTGGTACTCTGCTGCTTTCAAACCTTTCTTTTTTTTTTTTCATTCTAGATCGCATTTTGAAAGAGTCTAGCAAGGTTTTTGAAGATGTCCTTGAGAGTTTCTACTCAATTGACTGCATTAAAGCACAGTTTGAAGCATGGCGTTCAAAATACTACACGTCCTATAAGGATGCTTACATTGGTCTTTGTTTGCCAAAATTGTTCAATCCTCTCATCAGACTGCAGCTCCTCACCTGGACTCCTCTTGAGGTGTGTGGTTTTTACCACTATTCAAAAACAATGTAACCTAGGATTTGGGTAGTTTTTGCCTTAAAAGCTAGAGAGGGAGATAGAGCATAGTCTGTAATCAATTAAGATAGACTGTATCTTAGGTTAATCTGTTTTTACATAAAGTTTTTTGATCACTTCAAAAGCTTTCTTTGTGATTTCAGTTTATATAAAGTTTTATTCTTAGCAAAAATTATGTGTATTAACACTGGGTTATAAGCAGGAAAAGCAAGAAGTTAGTCTTTTCATCCCAGGAGAACTTGGTCCCTGTTGGGAAAGTACACTAGGGCAGTTGTGGTTATGACAAACGGAAAGGGTGGAACGAACTAGTGAGTATGAAGATGGCGTCAGGAGAGCACATGGTCTGAGTGTATGAGTGTGGAGAGTAGAACTGTTTGTCCCTGGTTCTAACAGTTAGCATTGGGTCTTTGTAAGTTACTGACATAGTGATTGACGTTTACTGGATGAGATGAGAAAACAATAAGGAAAAAGGGGCTTTCAATGGAGCCTCTTAACAAGCTAAAGGAATTTGAACTCCAGAAACGGCTTCGTTCCTGGAAAGTGCCTGCCTGCTCTAGTAGTTTCATCCTGTGCATGTGTATTTCAGTAGCCTGCAGAGGTTCAAGGCTGTGTGGATTGGAAGTCTTGTGTTGTTAGCTTCTTCCTCTGTCCACAGCTTTTAGCTTTCTTGGACTTCTTGAACACCCATTGCTGTACCAGCTTCACAGAACTACTGTGTCCCACATAGAATTCAACCCTGCTGTGTGTGCTGTCCTGAACTAGCAGTTTGCTTCATCTCTGTCTTTTCTTTTAATGATCATGGTCCTGTGCCCCTTCTGCCGCATCTGAAAATAGTGTTTTGTATATTTTGTCCAGTGCTTGTTTGTTACAGCTAAAGGGTAACTCTAACAACTTTTTAATATGTTTCAGGCAAAATGCCGTGACTTTGAGTACATGCTCTGGTTTGAATCTCTGCTGTTCTATGGTTGTGAAGAACGAGAACAAGAGAAGGATGATGTTGATGTAGCTCTGCTGCCCACCATTGTGGAGAAGGTCATTCTTCCCAAGCTGACAGGTAGATTTCAGGAGGGGCCTCATTGTTCTGGGTTTCTCAGATGTGCCTAGAGTTCTTAGTCCAGTGACCATTTCATCATAGATGTTACATAATCTATGTTAGGTATCACCTGGCTGGCCCAGGGGTGTTAAGGATAGACAATTCTTAGCCTGAGGCTTGAAGACCACTTTGCAGGGGACATAGACCTGAGAGCAATAATTGATGTTTCAGAGCCTCAAGATTGCTTAATGCCAAACTGAATAGATGTTTTGGGGGAGTCATACACATTTGTTTTATTGATTTTCTTGAAAGATTAGAAATTACTGTTACAGAAATCTATTTAATTGTTGAGAGGTTATCTGAATTATTTAACATAATTAAAAATAATTAAAAATCAAATTGGAATTTAATTAGAAATTTTGGTTGTTTGAATAAGATCTTTTGGGATACAAAGGACTACAAAAGTAAATGCTGGTATTTATAACCAAAGCCTATCTGATATTAAAAATAAGCTGCAGCTTTTAACATCTTGTCTCTTGTTTCTCAACAGTAATAGCTGAAAACATGTGGGATCCCTTTTCTACAACACAGACCTCAAGAATGGTTGGAATTACACTAAAATTAATAAATGGCTATCCTTCAGTAGTCAATGCAGAAAATAAAAACACACAGGTACTTCAGTTCCTATGCTTGGGGAGGTTTATTCCTTCTTTTGAAAATGGGCCAGAGTTTAAGAGAATGAATGGTTATTCCGAACCAACCAGGGATCTGATTGATTCTCCCAGTTGGGTTTTTATACAGTTAAGCTGCTAGTTTTCGGTTGTGCAAATCTCTGTGGAAGAAAGATCCCATTCGTCTGTCACCAGCACAGCCCACTTCCAATTCCACCATCAAGCATCCCTGTCAAAACTGTACTGTGGGGGAGAATAGAAAGTAAACGCACTAGGTGAGCTCTTCGTGGTGATTGGAACTTAAGTAGCATATTTAAAAGTGGCCAGGTACACTTACAGGTAACCCCCAGATGTAAAATTGCTTTCACTGAGCTGGTTGGAAAAGCTTTCATCGTTGTTGAATTTTGACTTTTTGAAAATGATCTATGTTAATTTTAAATCTTTATATAGTAGACTTGAAGTTAAAAAATTTGTAAATAGCTTTACTGATTAGTAATTGCTGAGCGGTTATTTGGTAGAGTTGTAAGTGTTAAAATTATTTAACATAATTTAAATGTAATTCTTTTAACTCTGTAGGTATATCTTAAAGCACTTTTATTGAGGATGAGAAGAACTTTAGATGATGATGTATTCATGCCCTTATATCCCAAAAAGTAAGTAATTCATATGAACATTAAGTATAACATTCCATGCTTGCTTTCAGAGTCTAAACTTGAAATATAAACTTTACTTGTGTAGTATAAAATTACCTATCTCAAAATTGAGTTTTGTTTTTTTGGTTTGTTGCCTGTATTTGTTTTGTATGGGCTTCAGACTCTTTCTCTTTTTTTTAATCTCTCCAACTTTGTCCTCTCCCATTTCTCTCTGCCCCCCATCCCTCTCTCTCTCTCTCTCCCTGTCTCCCTGTGCCCCCGCCCCCCCTCTCTCTCCCCTCTACCCCCCCCCCCCCCCCCCCCCCCCCGTCCCTCTCTCTCTCTCTCTCTCCCTGCCCCCTCCCCTCACTCTCTCTCCCTGTCCCTCTCTCTCTCTTTATACCCCTGCCATGTGTCGCTTCTGGGATGAATGCTAAGCAAACGCTCTGCCCTGAGCCTCAGCCGAGCTGCACTCTCCTGAGTTCTGATCTTGTTTATTTGTGGACATTCTTTTTGGTAAGAGTGAAAAAGCATTTACTTATACAATATTTGATTGTGTTTTATTTCTCTTTTAGTGTCTTAGAAAATAAAAATTCTGGGCCTTACTTATTTTTTCAACGACAGTTTTGGTCTTCTGTCAAGGTATGTATTCATAGACCATCTAAAAATTTAGAATTTTTTGGACTTTATGTAGTATATTTGAAGGACTTTGTTTATTAACTCTGTAGACTTATATTGGTGTGGTGTCACACACAACCAAATATTATTCCAAAGTTTATTTCAGTTTGATGTTCTCACAGGAAAATTTGAAAGTAAGGCCCAGGCTGTCCCACAGGCCGCTTAACTAAGCCGCAGCACTGAACACACAAATGTGTTTAGCAGTTAGAGCACCGGCTCTCTCCTGCGTTCTAGGGTATAGCATTGCCCAAGACAGAAGCCTTTCCAGTGGAGTTTACAGTACACTCGGCAGGTAGATGGCAGACAGATGGTACCAGCTGTGGTATCGATGAGGGGCCCCTAGGGAACTCAGATGGGCAACTCCAGCATTGCGGTAGAAGATCCCTCTTCCTCTCCAGGAAGTGAGCCTAAGATTGTGACACGAGGGTTAAATAGAATCCAGGTAAAGGAGAGCGGGCTTTGGTAAAGATTAAACAAGTACACAATGGCCAGGGCTAGGAAGTAGAGTCAGGTAAGGCTTGTCTTTGTCCTGAAGGTTCTAAGAAGCCATCTAGTTCTGTCTCTCCATTTGTCCTTGGGGTAGTTCACACACATTTGCTCTTTAGTGCATAGTTCCATGAGTTTTCATAAAATACGCTTGTCACCACTACCAAGATGAAAGACACATCTCCCCCAGATTCCCCTTTGCAGTGTAGCCCGCTTCTGACCCCCTCCTAACCCGCTTGTGTTCTGTGGTTTCTTTGCAAGGATGTGTTTCCGGCAAGTCTGCAGTAGGGTCCCCCTGAGCGAGCCTTGCTCTGCTTCAGTGTGTGAGAGTCGCTTCATTAGTGTTCTCAGCAGTGTGCTGGTTTACTGCAGGCTGGGAGTCTGTAAGGTACGGGTCTAAGAGTTGAGTTCCTGTTCCTGTTCAGTTCCTTTCCTAGATAGGAGGACTTGAGATGGTTTCCAGTTGGAGTAATTGGGGAGAGAGAGGCCGTGAGGACTTCCTGAGTGTGTGAGTTCTTGTCTCGTTTCATTGAGTGAAACCGCAGGGGAGGCTGTCTGTGGTGTTTGTGTTCACCAACAGCATGTGAAGAGGTTGTGGTACTCCTTACTCTCCATGTCCGCGTTGATTAGTGGTGTAGAGCCTGATTTCATGGACTTGCCTTGCCTTTTGTGTGTTCTCAGGTATTTTGCTCATGTTTTAAGTTGACTGTTTTCTTCTTACTGAGTTCAGTTAGTTCTGTGTTCTGGAGGAAACATAGGGAGATGATTTTTGAACTTTGTCTCTGGTTTGTCTTTTAACTTTTCATTCAAGTATTCCAAATGTAGAAGTTGTAGTGGGTTTTTGTTGTTGCTGAATTGGGGTCTCATGTAGCCCAGACCTGTTTCAGAGACTTGCTGTGTAGCTAAGGATGACCCTGAACTCCTGTCCTCTCACTTCCCAGTGCTGGAGCTGAGGCTGCACCACTTGGATGATGCTGTGCATTGGGCCTTGGACCCAGCTGTGTGCCAGCTGAGCTCAATTCTCAGCAGCACAAGCTCTCATTTGTCTCCTACTGGTACGGTTGTATGTGCTTCAGAAGACATATTTAGAAATATTTTCCTAACAGAGAACCGTGAACTTTCTCTCCTGTACCTTGATGTTTCATAGTTTTGGTTTTTACATTTAGCCATGTCATCCGTTCACATTTTTATTTTAGGGGCTGGAGAGATGGCTCAGTGGTTAAGAGCACTGAGGACCCAGGCACTCACGGTGGTTCCCAGTCACCTGGAACTCCTGTTCAAGGGGATGAAGCGTCATCTTCTGGTCTCCTCCAGCCCCGCACAAGTGTGATGCACAGACACACGTGCAGGCAGAAATCCATAGTACACAAAATTAGGAAAATCCAAATTAAAGTTTTAGTTTAGATCCCTTTTGTTCCCCTGCTCTTTGTTGTGGAGACAGTCTTAGCTGAAAGTTGGTGAAATGTGAGAGTCTCTGTTTGTGGAGACAGTCTTAGCTGAAAGTTGGTGAAATGTGAGAGTCTTTGTTGTGGAGACAGTCTTAGCTGAAAGTTGGTGAAATGTGAGAGTCTTTGTTGTGGAGACAGTCTTAGCTGAAAGTTGGTGAAATGTGATGTGAGAGTCGTGGTTCTTAGGCTAGAAAGGACAAACAAACGGCCACTTGTAAGATGGCTTTGCGTGCTGTATAGAACTAACGTGTTGAAGTAGGTTGAGGAGAGTGATAATGAAAATTGGAACTCATTTTTGTTAACTGTTTACTGTGCCACACCCTTTATAGAAACCCCCAGAATGTCAAGTAGACCCCCCCCCCCCCGTCATTCTGTGTGTGGGTTGGGGGGGGGCCAGTCTGACCTGCAGTGTCGTTCCATTGCTGAGACAAGATGGGGATCTAATGCAGGTCTTAACAGGGTTCTGCAAGAGAATTAATTCTGAATTAATGTAATGGTTTTTCTCTTAAAGGGAAAGGGATTTTTCTCTTTGTGTTGTCCTCAAGAAAATTGAGTGGAGATACTCAGATCATTTTTGTAGGTTTATTTCTGTTACGGAATTCTGCTTGAGAAAAGGTACACTAGTATGCTTGCTGTAATCACTGGAGTAACTGGAGTGCAGAAAGAGGGTACTAGTTAGATTTTGGAGTTAGAGAAGCAGACAGGTTGGATGGAGGTGAAGTCAAGTTACTTGACAAAGAGGCCAAGAATGACCAGTGTGTGCTTCTGGTCTGAGTAGTTTGCTGCATAATGCTACCATTTGCTCAATGGAGAAATACTGGGAAGCTAGACATTGTGGTGAGATGGGATGAGGCTTCCGCTTCATGACAGTGACCTTCATTTTATATATACATGTCCAGCTTGAGCAGCTGGAGCTGTCCAGAGGGTGTGACTCAGTACAGAGTGGGAGGTTGTCAGCCATGCTGTGCTAGAGTCAGAGATGAAGTCCTGCTAATGGCCTGTGGTACCAGTTGATCTGGGAGTACTTTCTACACTGACAGGAAATGTTCTCTGTGTGTGTTTGACAAATATGACATCCACTAGTTATGTGCGTTGCCATTCAGGGTTTAACTAATTTAAATGTGAAATTCAAGAGTTCTTTTACTGTAGGAAGCATTTAGATACTTCAGAGGTGTTAATACTTTGTCAGGGCTTCCATCCATCTTATTTTTGGGTGTTTTACTATGTAACTAATTTACTTTGTACCTAATAACAATTGCTTGATATTGCCTCACAATAATTCTTTCTTTCTTTTTAGCTATTGGGAAATTTCCTTCAGTGGTATGGCATTTTCTCAAACAAAACTCTTCAGGAGTTGTCAATAGATGGCTTGTTAAATAGATACATTCTCATGGCTTTTCAGAATTCAGAATATGGAGATGACAGCATCAAAAAAGCCCAAAATGTGAGTTGGATAATACATATTGTAGTTTTAAAGCATGCCCATCAAAGCAAATTCAGTTTTCTTTGTTTAAAGAATAGGAGTTTTATAAAATTCCCATTGACAATTAAGCTTGCTATAAAGTTAGCAGTTAAACTAAACATGTTACATCTTTTTTTTTAAACCAAAGAATAAGATAATTGATCTTAACCAAGAGGCCAAGAAATGATACATGAAAGTATGTCTATATATGTGGTTTTGTGAATGTTTTTGTAGGTATCAATTAAATTTTTATTTTTTAACCTCAAACTAAATCTCTGACTTGTAGTCTCGATACCTTGAAAATACTAGTGTATATTTTTGGCAAAGCCGAGTGTTGCCCGGCATGGCTAGACCAGGGCCGTAGTGTCAGGGGCATTACACTGACCTTACTGTTGGCTAATCTTCGTGACCTAGTCCAGTGTGCTTTTCAGTTACAAAGTCAATAGCTTCACTGGCCGAAGAAATACCCGACTTACAATTTAACCAGTCTTTTTAGTGCCCTTGAGCCAGAAGAGTGCTTCCTTCTCTCTTGACTTTACAACCCTGACATCTCTGAAGGTGACAGGCCAGTTATTTGTAATGTGCTTTTGGTATGAGTTTGTCTGAGAGCTTTCCATAAGATTCAGGGTCTTTGTCTGTGGCAGAGGTTGTTCCTTGTTCCCTGAATGTGGTTATCCCTTAGAAGTAAACTTCTGCAACCATACAATGAGTCCCTCTTTTTTTAAAAAAATTTTTTCTTTTTATTTATTCTTTCTGTCTTTCACACCATGCCTCCTGATCCCACCCATCTCCCCCTACTCCCCCCATAGAACAAAATAAAATTTAAGAGAAAAAGGGGGTGGGGAGAAGGAGAAAGTCTCATGGAAGCTGCAGTGTGACACAGTCACGCAGTAAACCCCTTTATCCATACATGTTTACATGCATGGGGGGGGGTGGGGGGTGGGGGGGGTGGGGGGGGATGTCGGTCCTGTGGACCCAGAGCTGCAGGATCTTCATGACACAGGGCAGCAGCAAAGGGATGTCCAGAGAGGGCCCAGAGGCCTCGAACCAGACGGACGATTCTTTGTGATAAACATGTCCCCTCTTTTTAAGATAGTGCTTTCTTTCTGGAATGAGATGTTTTGACTCATTTTATACCCCCGTGTCCCTGGGATAAGTCATTCCTTTAGTAACCCTTGATTCTTATAATGGCCAGCCGCCTTTACCTGTTTGGATAACAGCTGCCCAAAGTAGACTGTCCTCTTGAGGGAATCAGTCTCGTACTCCTTAAGCCTTGGCACTAAAGCCAGAATGTCACAATCCCCTGTTCACTGGGTTAAGGTAAGGCTCTTGCTGTGTACTCTATCTCTAGTGTCGATAGTCTTAATCTTACTTTGGACTAACTGGGTTCCTACAACCAACATAGATACTGATCACTGAGATTTTCAGGAAGGAAGGGACGAGACTAGAGTACTGTATTTATACATGTGTTTTTACAAAGGGAGCATGGTTTGCTTTAGTCACATTGATAACTGAAAAAAAAAGGGCAACCAGTTATCAGTTTTATGTCTATTTAAATATTTGGCACACTATTTTGTTTTGAGTGTCTGATGCATTGTAAAAAAATCAGGCATTGGTATAGTTAATATAGGAAGTCAGGTTTTTAAAAAGATACGTTATATAGCAGTAAATAGTAACCGTTATGTAGCTTTAGCTTTTTGACATTTTCATTCTGTTTTAACTATTTCATTTGCATCTTCTGCATAGGTAATCAACTGTTTCCCCAAGCAGTGGTTTGTGAATCTGAAAGGAGAAAGAACTATTTCTCAGTTGGAAAATTTTTGCCGATATCTTGTACATTTAGCAGACACAATTTACAGGAATAGTATTGGGTGCTCTGATGTGGAAAAAAGAAATGCAAGGTAATTTATTCTTTCAATTAATGAAATGATAATCTAGAGTTCTTTAGTCAGATTTAATATTAAATAATCAAGTGGAGTCATTTTAACTTGTTTCTTAATTTATTGTTTAAACAACTCCATTACATTATATCTGTGTATATATAAGATGTACTCTGATCATATTCTCTTAAATTGTACATTTATTTACTGTTACAAACCTACCAAAATACACAATTTTTGTTTGTACAATTTTTGTCTTTTTTTTCCAGTGCATTAAATTTGAAAGCTTTTAGAGAAAACTTACAGTAAGGGTCATACCTGGAGCAGTGGATAAATTTGTATTTTTGTTTCCTGTGAAGAATTGAATAGATTCAGAGTTTTTTAGCATGTAGTGATCCTTAGCCTATGAGCTTTCATTGTGTAGATGTAAAACCTGAAAAGAATGGCCACTGAAATGTGGACTGGGTTAAAGTTGAGTGTTTGAGAGCTTTCATGCTCTCTTAATCCATGTTACAGACTAAAGGCCATTCATGATTGTTTGGGGAATAGCTTGTGTCTAGTTTTCATGAAAAAGTTCTAGGAAAGAGCCCGGCCTGGACCCAGGTGTGAACCTCGGCTTATTAGGAGGCTGAGGCAGAAGAGTCTCAGTTCAAGGCTTGCCAGGGCTTCAGAGTGAGTTGAGGGCTAGCCTGAACGATTTGTAAACATTGGTACAATTGGCACTTGTTAGACGTATGTTGTTTTCTCTGTACTGAGTGATCCCAGAGTGAGGCTCAGAGATGTGTACTTACTCATCCTTTCAAGAATTCTGGTGTTAATATCTCAGTTTCTTCATAATAAGGTGGATTGACTTAAGGCAGGACTGATAAGGAAAGCAAGACTAGGCTTTATTGAATGAATTTTAAAGGAGTTGAGGTTTGGCTCTTCATAAGCCGATGATGAAGACAAACGTTTTCTGTTGAAGTTGTACTCCACAAGGGCTGGGACTCTGGTTGGGAAGCAGAGAGACAGAGCTCCAAAAGGGTTTGGGATCATAACTGCTTTTCTTCCTAGATATTGATGAAAATCATTTATCAAAATAAAATAGTTTCTGTTTAGAATGAACTTCCTGTCTCTGGGCCAGTCACTTAAACATTTTGAATACATAACCGATTAAAGATTCTTTTCCCAGCCAGGCGGTGGTGGCGCACGCCTTTAATCCCAGCACTGGGGAGGCAGAGGCAGGTGGATCTCTGTGAGTTCGAGGCCAGCCTGGGCTACAGAGTGAGTTCCAGGAAAGGCGCAAAGCTACACAGAGAAACCTGTCTCAAAAAACAAAAACAAACAAAAAAAGATTCTTTTCCCATTTATTTGTTTTGAGAGTGCCGTCCATACTGCCATGGTGCGTGTGTGGAGGTCAGAGGACAGCTGCCAGGATTGGGCTCTTTCCTTCCACCATGGAGGAGCTGGAAACGGACTCCACGTTAGATTTGGTGGCAAGCAGTATACAGTGATGAGCCATCTTGACGTTTTAAAACATGCTGTAGCTTGCATGTCTTCTTCTCAGTGTTTGAAAATGTATGCCTGGAAAAGTTACTTTGCAGATTCTCTACTGTAGTTGTAAAATGAAGAACAAATTTTATCTGAATATAATGCTGTGATTTTTTTTTTCTCTCTCAGAGAAAACATAAAACAGATAGTAAAACTTCTTGCAAGTGTTCGGGCTTTGGATCATGCTGTGTCTGTTGCAAGTGACCACAATGTGAAAGAACTTAAGTCTCTGATGGAAGGAAAATAGATCTGAGACCAGAAAGTGTTTGCTTTGCCCATTCCCAGTGTGTAAATTTTGTACATATGTAAAGTTTCTTAAACTGTAAGATACTGATTCTTGTTTAAATACAAAAACATTATATTACTACTGTGTCCTTCAATGTGATTTCTTCAGAACAAAAGGAATTCAGATTATTTCTAGGAGTCTATGAATGTTTTCCTTACTGCCTGTCATATTTTGTTTATGGAGGTATTTTGTATCGTCATAAATTAACTTCGTTTAAGTGTCCTCTATAAATGATGTGTGTGTAGTATAAATTGTATAATTATGCATATATGTATGTATATATTTATACCACCCTGGGTTTTCACGCTGGAAATTTGCGGGTGTTTTTCTACAGAGGAAGCTTTTTAACAACAGAAAATGACCCAGTAGCAGTCGTCTTCGGGAACTGCTGTGCTGCCGCAGCAGAAGGGCTGGCAGGTGATGGTCTTCACCCCCACTTCAGCTAGCATCACTGTCACTTGTCGCTGTACTGCCTTAAAATGGGAGCTGAGTTAGGGCTTTTGTCACTGAGTGAGTGTGGAACTTCTGTGAGTCAGCCTTGGAGCACATGTGGGTTTAATGTGAGCGCTAGGTGATACAGCAGTAGAGTTCAGGGTGGGACATCAGTTTAGTTTTTGACAATAAGCCCACAAACTAACTGCATGGTTTAGGCTGACTGTCCTTTGTCATTCATGATTTTACTCCCTGCCCAGCTTACATATACATGAATTTCTATAGTCTCTCATATTTTAAATCCCACATATGTGAGTTATATATGCAATAAAGAATATGCCTTGCTGATTAGACGCACCCAGGCAATTTACTATCGGTGGTCTTCTGTAATATTTATACCACATTGTAAATACTCAGAGAAACTTGTTTTAAAGTTAATGCTTTCTGATTCTGTGGTTTTCAAAAGAGGAACTTTTTGGAAATTAAGGACTATTGTTTGATAATTATATGTGTAATTATGCTATAGCCAAGCATTAAATTAATTTTTAAATACATCCTTTGTTGTATTTTGCTGGTGACTTAACTTTTAGAGTGTTTCAGATGAGTCATAGTGGGAGGCTGTTAGCAGGCAGCGTGTACTCTAAAGGCAGGATGTTCATAGGACAGTGCCCTTCGGGCCCCCCCTTTCCCATTGGTTTTGTGTGTTTGCAGGAGCAGGGCTTATCTCCACATTCTCATTCTGGGTGAATCTTTTGTTAATACTTTTGTGAGCTCCTAAATGGAATGAAACTTTCAGAACACTCATCCCTCAATGTCAGTGGACTAAAACAAACAGAAATAGGTATTTGGGCCTTAAACCGTGTTTCCAAGCCTGTCACATAAGCCATCCTCCTGTATGTTTTTAGGAACTCTTAGAAGAAGCACTGAGGCTTTCTATCCTAGCTTTTAGGAATAGGCTTGAACACTATCCCAGAACTCTGATACAAGATGAATGTAGCACAGAACTGTGCATTTAAAAACGTCTTTATGTCTCAACAGAAGTTTTTCATTCTTAAGTGAGTAAAGACACTAAAAAGGAAATTCTCACTTGCTCTGTCACATACTAGTTGAGTGTCTTAAAACAATTGTTCTCTTGAGTGCTGAAGGCCAGAAATTGGACGTGTCACCAGGACCGTGTGTCCTACAAAGGTCTGCAGCCTTGGCTTGTCGTAGTTCTCCAGTCTGCCATGTTTTCATGTCACTTCATGAGTTTCTGATCCCCTCTGCCTCCTTTGTAAGGGTGCTTGTGATTTCATGACGGTCTCCTGCGTATCCAGTCATCTGCTGAATGTCCAAAACTCAGGTTTCTTTGCCCAACCATCTACCGTTTGCTGGTTTCAAGTATCAGGGTGTGAGTATTTTGAGATGGTTGTCACAAGCCTCACTCATTGCTCATCTTCAAAGTCAAGAAGGCATTGGCTTCTATGCAGACCTTTAGACTGTATCACTGAAGTATTTAAGTTAGCCTATCATGAAGATACCACGATTCACTCAAAAATGTGTCCGGCTATTTGGGAACGCTGTAACAAAGTATTAAATAGGAAAAGAACAATAAGAAGGACTGTTTAAAGGTCGCTACTATGTTTTTCAAGTCCTGGGCCTTTTTTTTTTTTTTTTTTTTTTGGTTTTTCGAGACTGGGTTTCTCTGTGTAGTTTTGTGCCTTTCCTGGAACTCACTTGGTAGTCCAGGCTGGCCTCGAACTCACAGAGATCCACCTGCCTCTGCCTCCCTAGTGCTGGGATTAAAGGCGTGAGCCACCACCGCCCGGCCCTGGGCTTATTTTATGATTAAAAATTATTTCGAAAGGGTTTGTGAAAGCTATGACTTCATACTGGAGATAAATCCTGTTTCCAGTTTAATTTGAAGGAAGAAATGGCAACCTAGAAATTTGAATCTTAGTTAAAAAAAAAAAAAGCATAGGCAGAAGGCTTGCTTTAGGAAGAGCCCAGTGCCATGATTCCCATCTTGAGAAAGGGTTTCTGATGTAGCCTCACAGATTCTTGAGGTGAAAGTTGGATTACATCTCCCCTTAAGGGTGATTGCAGACGTCAGAAGGGCTGGGGATGCCCCCAGTTTGTAAAATGTCTGGTATTCATCAAGTCCTGGGTTCAGTCCTAGTCACCACATAAACCAGGCATGGCGGCACGCCAGCCTCGCCTCTGTGTTACTTGGTCTCAAAAAATAAAGTTACCTCCAAGGTACAATTCAGTAACTCTCCTGAGCACTTTTTTTGTTGCTTATCATATACAGGTATCACATTCTCACCAACTCTTTTTTTCTTTGAAGAATTGTCCCCACCTGAAAGGGACACTTCTTGAAAGGAAAATGACTAACCACAGTCCACTCAAGCATTTTAATTATCAGTGTAAGTTTGTGGTTACTGTAACCACAACAAAAAGCAAAAGCTTTTCTACGGAGACTAAGTGAAAAGATCTCAGAACTAAATTCAAGTGTGTTTCTCCTTGACTAGAGATGGCTTGTGTTTAGTTTGCTTATTAGTATTCTGAAACCAGGGTGGATTTGTCTTCGATAAAATGGAGAAATGTTAAGTCACATGATAGAGCCTGATAGAGGAAATGATTTTGTGCAACGCATCATATTGTGCTTTTGGGGGAAAAAACAAAAAGGGGAAGAGGCTAGTGAAACATGAATGCCGGGTTCCTCGGGTTCTCGATTCCTTTCTAAAGCCCTATTAACTACATCTTTCTTCCATTTTTGCCTCTTAAGTAGAAGCAGAATAATTCTGCCGGACACAAATCATAGGCATGTGTTGAGAAAAAAAGGTGTGAAACCGTGTGATGCCCTTAGTTATAAAATTCCACGGTTGGCAAATCACTAAGTGACAGCCATGTTTTGTTTAACTGCCTTGAGCTCCTCCGCTGCATGTAGTTGAGCACTCTTCCACAGCCCCTGGAGCTCCAAGAATGCATAGAACAGTCAGGGAACAGTCTCCTGCTGCCTCCCTGTCTCCAGACACCATGGACAGCTCTTCGGGAGCCACCCCGCCCGCGCTGCTGGCAGACAGCGCCCAGCCCTCCCTTCCCCTCGCCCGCCCGTCGGGTCCGCGGAGGCGGCAGGGGGGTGGTCCCGATGCCCGATTCGGGCACGAATCAACTCGGGCCCCCGCAGCTCCTTCCCGCAGTCCCTCCCTATTGCCCGCGGGGAGGGCTGGCGAGCTCCGAGGACTCCATGCCAGGAGGCCGGACCCTCTCTCTGCCGGTTTCCCCTGCCGTGCGATCCGTCCGCTCCCGCGTTGACTAAGGCGTCACGGGGACCCAGGTCGCGGTGACTGCAGCACCCGGGTGGCCCGCAGGCGCCCGGCCGGGCCGAACGGCCCCGCGTGGGCGGAAACAGCTCCGCCCCTTCACCCTCAGGGGCGGGCCTTCCGCCCCCTGCAGCGGCGCAATGCGGAAGAGCTGGGCCTGCTGGAGCGGAAGTGACGCCTCCGGTGGCTGTAGCGGCGGCGGCTGCGGGAGAAGGAGGAGGAGGAGCCGGAGGAAGAGGTGAGGCAGCCGGCGGGGGGGGCGGGGAGCGGGGAGCGGCCGCGGCTAGACCCAGCGGCTGCCGGCCCGGCGGGTGGACGTTTCCTGAGCGGTGGCGGCGGTCGCGGCCGGGACGTGAGCGGTGAGAGGCGGCTGCGGGGCGCGAGCGGCTGGTGGCGAGGAGACCGCCGGGCGGCGGGTGGCTGCCGTGACAGCGGCTGTCACCCTGCGGGCGGGAAAGAACCCCGTCAGCGCAGGCTCCGGGGCATCTCTTGAGGCGCATAATGGAGGCACTGGACTGTCCGGTGCCTCCGTTTCCCCGGCTACCACGGAACCCATCGAGCCGCGGTGGGATCCATTTGTCACCATGACCTGCGCGACTGGGCGGGAGGCGGCGGTCACCTGTGCGGCTTTCCCTGCCCTTCGCCGCCGCCCTAGAGAGTCCGCGGTGTGATAATAATCCCTACCCTCCTCCGGCCCCCTCGGGAGCTTTGAGGCAGCCTGGTTAACCTTCCCTCCCGTCTCCTGGCCTTTTTCCGCCTAAGGATCAACCTGAAGTTTCCCCATCAGTTCCCTTCCAGTAGTGACAAATCGTGAAAGCAGGAAGCTGATAAACAACCCCAACTGAAAATACACTCCCGATTTGATTTTTTTCCCTGTGGGTAAACATAAATGGGAAATTCACCTCATCCAAACCAGGACCAACAGTGCTAAAACCCTGCCTTGCCTTGCTGTGTCTTGAGAATTGGAAGCGTTCCCTTTTGCCTTTTGGCAAAAATTTGGTGACGCCTTATCTTTTGGGATAAATCGTTCACCCTTGATTTCCCTTTTTCTCCACCCCCACCTCCATCAAACTTGGCAGGGAGGGACCACTGGGTGTCTAGCAGTCCATTCGCTTGACTCGGCTTGGTTTTCACAGGGCTGCCTCTGAAGAAAGGAGGATGGCTTTCAGCAAAGGATTTCGAATCTACCACAAATTGGATCCCCCACCGTTCAGCCTCATAGTGGAAACTAGACATAAGGAAGAATGTCTCATGTTCGAGTCTGGGGCTGTGGCTGTGCTCTGTAAGTCACGTGTTTTAGCCTAACTGATTATGATCTCTGTTTTGGTGTGTAACTCTCAAGTTTAACAGTTTATAAAAAAAATTCTTGGAAGCCTTCTTACTGAATTTTATCTGATGGATTTATTCTTTGACTTAATTTGAATGAAACCTTATTTCCTGTAAACTCAGACTTAGGTTTTTGTTTGGGGGGATGGTGGTTGGGGAGGTTGCAGATTTTGCTGATAGGATTTTGTTTTCCTTGTGTTCTGCTTCTAGAAGTGTATCTTTTTATAAAATATTGTTGCAGTTATGTCTTATCACATTAACCCAATTAGACAGCTTGCTTGATACCTGTAAAGCACAGAATTTTGCAGGTCAGTTTTAATAGTCATGATATTTTTCTGTGTATCTTATGTTAAACCCTTTATTTTTGTTGTTTTTTATTTTTATTTTTTATATGTTGGTATGCTCCCCTGAACATATGTGATATGGGAGGGTCAGATTCAGATCGGGCAAGTGTTCTACTACTGCTGGACTTCTCCAGCCTAAGTGTTTATATTTCCAGTAAAAATTGCAAACTGATTGGTTTCTAAAGAAAAGGACTTCTTATTGTAACACACACACACACACACACACACACACACACACACACACACACACACTCTAAAGTTTGGGATAATTTGTGGCAGATGGATGAAAATAAAATACTAATTAACATTATGCTTTATTCTTTAAATTTCTTTTTACATTTAGTTATTTATTTGTATGTAAGTGGGGGCACGTGGAGTTCAGAGGTCAGCTTGTGAGAGTAGGTTCTCTCCTCCTATATGTGTTCCAGGGATAGAACTCGGTTCTTTAGGCTTGGTGGCAAATTCTTTTTACCTGCTGAGAACCTCTCAATGTACCCCATACTTCATTCTTAATATAAGACTCGGGCAGATAACACTAGTTTGGGGTTTTCTCAAGTGTGATTTTTTTTCAAACAGATTTTCTAATGATAACTATTTGTTCTAGCAATCTGTTATAGCCTGACCCTTCATGCTATAGCCAAAGCTGTTGAACTCCAGATCCCCCTGCCTCCATATCCTGAGTGCTGGGAATACAGGTGTGCACTACTGTGCTAGGTTTCTGCAGTGCTGAAGATTGAGTCGGGGCTTCGTGTATCTTAGGCGAGCACTCTGCCAGCTGAGCTACATCCCTAGCCCTCTTGCTTATATTTTTCTCAGATTGTTTATTGATCATATTATATGAATTAAAACTAGTGTTTGGGCTGGGAGATGCTTATATGTACCATGAGGACTTGAGTTTGATCCCCAGCACCCTCCTAAAAGCCTGGCCTGGCACTACATGCCTATAATCCTAGAACTGGGAAAGCAGAGTCAGGGGCCCTGGGACTTTGTCGTCAGCTAGTCTGCCAGGTTCTAGGCAAAGAGTCTGTCTCAAAAATAATATGGAGAGCAGTAAAAGAAAACACTTGATATCAATATCTGCCTCCATACATACTTTCCCTGTGTGTGTGTATTTATTATATAATAAATATATAATAAAGGAAGAGACCTGATATCAACCTCTGGCCTCCATGCATACTGTGTGTGTATGTGTGTGTGTGTGTGTGTGTGTGTGTGTGTGTGTGTGTGTGTGTATGTATGTGTGTGTATTTAATATATAATGAACATGTAATAAAGGAAAAAACCTGACCTCTGGCTTCCATGCATACTGTGTGTGTGTGTGTGTGTGTGTGTGTGTGTGTGTGTGTGTGTGTGTGTATTTAATATATAATGAGCATATAATAAAGGGAAAAAGTCTGTTATCAACCTCTGGCCTCCATGCATACTCTCTCTTTCTCCCTGTGTGTGTGTGTGTATGTGTATTTAATATATAATAAAGGAAAAAATATATCAACCTCTGGCCTCCATGTATACTCTCTCTATATATATATATATGTGTGTGTATATATACATATATATATATGCATGTGTTTATTTAATATATAATAAAGGAAAATACCGCTATCAACCTCTGGCCTTTATGTATACTCTGTGTGTGTGTGTGTGTGTGTGTGTGTATGTGTGTGTGTGTGTGTGTGTGTGTGTATGTATGTATGTATGTATGTATGTATGTGTGTGTATTTAATATATAATGAATATATAATAAAGGAAGACACCTGATGTCAACCTCTGGCCTGCATGCATACTCTGTGTGTGTGTATATATATTGCTGTGTGTATATATGTGTGTGTATAATACAATAATGTTTGAAACACATATTTACTAATATAATCTGTAAATATTTTAAGTATTATTCTTTCTTTAGACTCAGTAAGTAAAGAGCATAATGTCCTGACCCATGCATATATGATTTTCAGATTGGTTCATGCGTAACCTGGCTAAAATAGTAAAATTTTATCCTGGTAGGGAAAATAATAGTGACATAATGAACAACTCTCAAGCAAAGATCAGTATATAACATACACACACACACACACACACACACACACACACACACATATATATATATATATATATGTTTTTGGTGCATACAGTAACATGGTTTGAAGGGAGAGTCTAAGGGCTAGATACATCCCAAGAAAAAGCTTAAGTAATATTCAGTATGAACTTCATTGCTCCAAATTGGTTTTTATGCTTTAATAAAATGAAAGTGCCATGCTCCAGTGTTAATCCAGCTAGCGTACATTCTCATACTATAGATGTGCTTATACTAATGAATACTGAAATAAAAACATGAAATTGGGGGGCTGTGGCTAGTAATATAAAATGTTTTTCAGCTGCTTGTGTTTTGGTTGACATTACCTGATTTATTAATGTTGTCTAAATTCTAGTATATTTTAAAATTGTAGTTACTCATAATTGCAATGGGAAGTTACCATGGAGCTTACAAATTATGAATTTACCTGTAGTTTTCAGAGTAATTGCTATATGTTAAGGTTAGAAAACCCAAGAATAATCATACTTATAAAACCTCTAGTAGTTATCTTTTATGCCAAATAATGGTTTTTAAAAGTCTCTAAACCATCCATTTGGGGGCATTAATTATGAGGTGGAATAATATTAAGATATTTGCTTAACAATATATATTTATTTTCATGGTTTAGGAATTAAAAATAAGTACTGCATATTAAGCAAGCACTCTAACACCAACCTACCTCTGTAGCTTAATTGTTTCTTAATTTTGTCCTCATTGGATTTAAGCTATGTAAGTAATTCTCAGAGGACACCAAAGTTTGAATACTGCTTCTCTCTGTAAAGCTAACATAAGTGGATACATATTGTCTTGGATGTGTTATCTTTTCTATAAATTCTACAGCAACACTTAAAATATATTTTTGTTTGACTTTTTCATTGATATATAACAAACATAAAAATTACATATGTAGCTACAACACTTGATGTTTCAAGTCATTTGTACATTATATAAAATGTTGAAATGGGTTGGACATTTGCCATGTATGGTGAAAATATGCAAAACCTTTTTTTCTAGTTTCTTAGAATATATAGAACATTGTTACCTGTAGGTACCCTACTGTGCAATAATAAAATATAAATCTTTAAGAGCTAACCTTTTTCTTTTTAGATAAATTGATTTATAAAATTAGTTAGGTGCCAGTATGATGTTGCATATCTGTAACCCCAGCACTCAGGAGGCAGAAGCAGAAAGATCTTGTATTTGAGGCTATCCTGGGCAACATAACGATAGCCTGTCACAAAAAAATTAATTTGGTATTCGGGTTGGAGTGATACCAAGATAGATGTTTGTAAGACCAATTCCTAAACGGTTGGCGCCAAATGTAGTCAGAAAGTTTCCGTTCCTGCCCGGCCCTGAGGCCCACAGCTGCATATAAAATAATCATTCAGAGGCTTATATTAGTTACCAACTGTATTGCCTACGGCAGGCTTCTTGTTAGCTAGCTCTTATAATTTAACCCATTTTTATTAATCTGTAAGTTGCCATGTGGCCGTGGCATTACCAGTCTGCCGGCATCTTGATGTTGGCATCTCCCCCTCCTTTCCTTTCTTCTCTCCATATCTCTGCTTGGATTTTCCTCCTGCCTCTAAGCTGCCTTGCCATAGGCCAATGCAGCTTTATTTATCAACCAATCAGAGCAGCACATATTCACAGCATACAGAAAGACATCCCACAGCAGATGTTGTCCTGTATGATGTCAGTTGTATTCAGGGAACTATCTGGAAGATATGGGTGTGTTCTCTTCACCCTCACCACTCTTAGCCTGTGTATTTCAAGGCCTCCTGCTTATCAGTCTGCAAGAAATGTCCTCTAAAGTCATTTTTATAGTACGTCAGAGTGTGGCCCTGTTTTCTTAAGATAAAATTTAAACTCTTCAGGCTGTTTATCAAGGTCTTCCTTAACCTCCCTCCACTCTTTCTGTTCCGGGAGATGGTGTCAGTGTTTTCACACAGTACTAGGACTTATCAGTTTTCATCATTTTCGTTAGACTTGCACCAACTTAATCAGCTATTGATGTTTTGGGTTACTTTAGTTTTTTTCTGACAAGGTCTCTCATAGCTTAGGCTAGTCTCAAACTTGCTGTGTAGCTGAAGATGACCTTTGAACTCCTGAGCCTCCTAAGTGCTAAGCCAGTGTGTCCTAGTCTGAGCCAATGATTTACTGTGCCTAAGCTGCACAACATAATCATCTGGAAGATTTCACAAACACTGGTACCTGGGCTTCTGTCTCCAAAGATTCTCGTAGTTGCATCAGAATGATAATTTCTGAGCAAAACTTACGTGTACCTTGCTATGAGAGGTCACTTTTTTTGACCTATAGATTTTATCTAAAATAGCCATGTTTCCAGAATTATAGTGCTGTGATTGTGTATTATAGAGCTCATCATTTTCTTGAAGCCCTCAGGCTGAACCAAAAGGTAATTTTTCCATGACATTTTCAATAGTGTTTTCATATCACATGGAACTGTGTACATGTTTCTTAAGGTTTATATTCCTAATGCTTGGCACAATATTTTACTCACCACTAAGGAACACCTAA